AATTTCCGCCATGAATTTCGATGAGCTTCACTTCCTGACGAATCTTAATTGATTACCCAGCCTCGATGACGGAAAGAAAACTCTCCTAATAACTCTCCTCCATCAATCTGCATTTTAATGGGGGTAAATGGAGCTCGCTTTCAACGCGTCTGGCCAGTGCACAAAAGAGGAAGGTAGGAAATAGTGGAATCGATACTTAATCATGAGGGAATGCGGCAGTCCCATGAAGTTTAATGCACAGCTTATATGACCGGGGTGATTGATGTCATCAATCACGTGCTAAGGATTCCGTTTGGAGAAAGAGGGGCCAACTTTCTCATTTTCCCTCAGCAGCATCTGGCCGAAATCCATCTCAAACTTCGGTTTCATCAATTTGTCTTTCTTTGTTCTGTATCAGGCTTGCTCTCTCTTTCTCTCTCTCTCTCTCTCTCTCTCTCCCCTACACACACGTGCACGCACGCACAAGTATTTCCAGCGTCCACACGTGAACATTTCCCCAAGAGAAATCTCACTCTCAGGATTGATTCCTCGATTCATCTCTGTATTCCTCCTCGGGAAAAATCACTTATTTCTCCAACCGAAAGAGCGATGGAACGGGTAAATATGAAGCATATGGATGCACAGTGGCGTAGGCAGGAAATCGGCAAGAGGGGGGGGGGGGGGGGGGGGGGTGGAGGCCAGGGAGACACCCCAACCCTACGCCTAGCTCCACTTCCCGGAATTTACCTTTTCAAAGAAATCATGGTCTGGCATCTTGGGTCTGTGGACGAACATCAGACTTTCCTCGGAGGGACATAGCTAAAATTGGAATTCCCAAGGAAAGTTGAAATATGCCTGTCAGTGTCACTGGCCGGGAAGCCCAAGGGGGGGGGGGGGGTTCTAACTCCCTAACCTCTCCCCCTTCCCTACGCTAATGTGGATGGAGATTCAGGTCTGAGGAGGGGACAGGGAATGGAAGATTCATGAAGCTCCGATGCCCCGAGGGAGACCGTGTGCGGACGCACGGCTCCACCGAAGAAACGTCCTCGGAAATGTGATAGGGGTCGCTGTCCCTGTCAGGAGCAGAGGGAATGTTCCCCGGAGGATCCGAGACGAAAAGAGATAAGTTCGGCGTTTCCCTGTCCTGTCGCTGATGTATAATGCAACGTCGGAGATGGTCCGAGAGTGAGATGGACGATATTGAAAGAGAGAGAGGCTGCATCGATAAATTTCTAGCCATTAGTACGTGGAGTTCTCTTCCGTCTCCTCGCTCGCGTCCACTGCAATATCCTGGAGAAGGGGAGAAAAAGGGAGCTAGACGAAGGAGGTAACGGGGGGAAGGGAAGGGAAGGCAATATAGACAAGAGGCTGAAAAGGAAACCTAATGATTTCCTCTCCATCTATCATCCTCTCTCTGGGGCAGGAAAGCCATAGACGTCATTCCTTCCAGACACGGAAAACTTTTTTTACTTGAGGCCAAGTCAGCCACGAGGAACTCTCACTCATAAGTTCCACTCAAATCAAGCGAATTGCGGAATGCACCCACGATTGATGAGTTTATTTCGAATCCTCGAAACGAAACGATTCTTGTTTCTATTCGACTGAGGTATTTCTTCTCGATTATGGCCGTTCAGATGGAAAATTCCGCCAGGCTTTTTTTTTTCTTCTTTTCATAGGTCAAATGCTGGGCAGAGGAAGCCGCATGAAATGCCTAGAAGGGCGGAAAAAACGCGCAGCCAGTTTCTGTCCTGCCGCCCATCAATCAAAGCATTCCCATTGTCTGCTCTTTTTTCTTGGAGGGGAGGGGGGGGGAAGATGGGAAGGCAGATAGAAAGCCATACATTTTGTATGAACAAACACACTTACATACAACATACACACATACACACAATAAATTAGACTCAGGGTCCAGTGTAGACAAGAATTACAGTTCAGGGGATCGAGCTAACAAAAAGGGAGAAAAAAAAAAAGATTCCTCTTTCTATATAGGAGGCTCTCTGCCAGAGGATCGAAAGGTAGGTACCCGAAAGCAATCCTCTGTCTTCAAACAAATTAAAGATCACCGGACGGAGGAGGGAAGTGGGGGTGGGTGAGAACAACCCAACAGGCCATCACATGATAGAGAAAGTGGGCTCTTGTTCCAGGGGTCTTGCAGAATCATCAGTCAACTGGAAGAACAGAAGAGCTTTACCCTCACGATCTAGCTAACATGATCCTTGCTGGCAGCGGTTGATGGAGGTTGTGATGAAGGCGAAAAAAGTCCAGGGCATGGAGACTGCAAGGTGTTCGAACTTCGTCGATTTTGAACCTTCGTGTTCTTGGCGAGAGCATGAAGGGAGTCAAGGAATCACCCAAACCTGGGGCATTCGAATGCAGAAGGGAAGCATTGGAGGCTTTAGACTCAGGGGTGCCCAAAGTGGATGTTCTCTAAGGCACTTTGTGTGCTGGATGCGGCCCGCGGGCCGCACTTTGGGCACCCATGCGAGGACCCTGGCTCGGTTATGCCTTCAGTCACAATCGTCCAGCTATTGCACTATCCTTTAATCCGCCATAGCCTCTTTCTTCTTGTGCATCGAAAACCTGATTGGCGTCTTTCTTCTGTTCACAGGCCATCCTGTTGTGAGAGGAGCAGTTTGAGGGGTCATCCTGACCTCTCAAGCCCTTCCTTCTTGATTCATTTTCCACTCTTGCCTTGCGTTTGCATCATCCCTTTTCAAGCCACCTTTATTTTTGGAATGGTATCGTTTTCTGGTATTGCATAAGAAAAAAAGTAAGTTTTCCTTTGCTTTCAGAAATTGATGGGGAAGAATGGTGATGATCGTGCTGAAATATGAAGATGAGACAGATGATGTAGGGAGTGAGAGTTGAAAAGCCTAAGGGTGGAGAGGCAATCTGTCAGAGGAGTCGAGGCAACCGATCATAATTCGTTATCAAGAGCCTTTCGTCGTCTTCGCTTGTATAGAGTTCGTCCAGGTCCCTCATTTCTCGTTTCGTAGATCTTCTCCCCTTACAATCTCGAGCCCGTAGTTTCTAATTCCTCGGACACCCCAGGGAGGGGCGCAGTGGCGTAGTCAAGAGGCGTGGAAGGCGAGCAATGGCCCCCTTCAACAAGAACAGTGACGAAGCCTAATATCCAGACCAAAGCATCTGCACGCTGCCACTCCAAGGGCAGAGACGGTCGCTCTTTCGGTATGGGGTTGAAAAAGTGAGAAAGTTAGCCCGCATTGAGAAATAGATGGGTTATTTTTCAAATTTTCGCGGCTTGCGGCCGCGACCCGATATATTGTATTTTGGTTCGATAAAAATCTAAAACCGTTAGCTTTATTTTTATCAGCTTGTGCTTCAAACCCGACGCGAAGCCAAACGAAAATGATAACTTGGCCAAGCCCCTGGAGAGGAGGGCGTCCTCGAGCGTTAATCAAAGCCTGACATCTGCCTTCCCCGGATCGAGTCGAGGTCTATTACCTCCCCAGCTCTCATGTCCTCCCGTATCCAAGATGAGGGGGTCGAAGCACAAGGAAGGGAGATTGCAACAAATGAAGAATCTTAAGGATTCGTAGGACTCTCGTCTACTTCTCCAAACTCCTTCATATCCAAATTTCTCATCTACCAGGGTCACCTCTAAAGGAACGTCTCCAATTTTGTCTATTGCAAACTAATAGTGGAAAAAGCTCAAAATTGCACATGCAGACACTTAAAAATATCCGTCCCTTCCTCATAAAGTTTCGTGATTCGTAACCAGAAACCTCCGCCACTGTGGAGATACAAAACAGTGGAGTGTGGCGATACCCATCCAAAGCAGAGACTTAATTCCTTACGGGTGAAGAACTACCACCTAGAGGCATTCATCACCTCGTGAAGGTATTTTTGGCGATGCATGGATCAATGTGAATACTGTGCGTCGCTGGGTGAGTCGTCGGAAGCATCATGAGACGATCAAGAATGTTTATCGGCGGTACTCCTCTTAAGCGGAATTCGGTCGCTGCTCTTTGTTTATGACGGTCGTCACCAGACTCCACCGTTTTGAATCGTCGTGGTGGCAGAGCTTTCTGGATCGGACTCACGAAAACTTACGAAGAATGGGAGGACATTTGATGGTGTCTGCATGTGCATTTTCGAACTTGTACCACCAGTAATTTGCGGTTGACAAAGCCGGAGGCATTACTTTTGGGGTGGTCCTCGTATTTAATCGTATGAGCGTGGCAGACGTGACATACCCACACTCAAGACTGAAATCCTTAACTCGAATAGCATTCATCGAAAGCCCAAAGAACGTATCTCGTCCATGACCTGCTCAAGAAAGGATTACTTCCCCTTTCACCCCGGTGGAACCTCGCCCCTTCCCCTCCATTGTCGATCGATGAGTGTCTCTACATCTGATTCAATCTTTTTGACCTAAATACGGTAGAGAAGAAGCACACGGGTAATTTTCCATATGCGATGGGTGGCAGATAAGTTCAACCATATCTGCATGCATGCTGCAACCGATAAATGAATTAGGTCTGAGATTAGATCTCAGTGTTACTTTCTCCTATGAAAGATGGATATAGAAAATTTCCTGGAGTTCATACAAACTCAGGAGGACGGTCCTGCAAGGATAGGTCCACAGTGGCCACTGGGAGCGCGAAGGTAAGTCGTTGGAAGTCGAACGAAGATCATACATTTCGAGCTGGTGTTATTATACACTGAACGATGAGAACCAAGTCTCGGGTGTTGCTGGTCGCTACTCTCAGCAGGGACCAAGGCATAATGGTTGAGGAAATAGTCATTCATCAAAGTATTGTGCTGCCCAACAAAGTATACTCTATTTTCACTTCCAGACGAGCCTATTTAATCTTGGAACTGGTGGCGTTGATTCAAAAGAAGTCCCAGTGAAGCTAACATATTACGGTGCCAGAGTAGGAAAAAGGGAGGGGGACTGCAGACCCACATTGGTTCTGGAAATGCGAATCCAACCAATCAAACGAATTTGATTTGATGAATTTTTATTTTTATGCTTGTAGAGCCACATACGTATAGTCCCCTGGTTCCCGCGTTTAGTAGAATGGACATCCCAGAGATAATTTCACAAACAAATTTCAGTGTCTGAGGAAGATCATTTGTGTCTCGAAGGAATCTTGTTGAACACTCGCTCCTCTGCCCTCTCACTCCTCTTATCGTGATTGGGAACTAAGCAACATCCTGCCGATTACATGTAAGTGGAAGAAAAACCTCGAGAGCAATAGAGCAGAAGACAGAGATAGAACAGGGAAAAGAAGAAAAAAAAAAGGAGGGGGTGAGTTTGCAGGTACAGAACTGACATTTATTGACGCAGCTCATGGAAGCATGACGTTTGTTGTAAGAGGAGAACTTGGTTCCCGATAGTCGTCCATCCAGGATGGAGGTATCGACCGAACACTTCCAAGCACCTGCTCTCTTCCAAACCTCCATTTACGTACCTCTCTAGGAGGCCTAAGAGGAAAAGAAAGAGCGAGAAAGTGAAAGGAAATGGGAGGGTCTGCACGGTGTATAGTAATTGAAGGACTTACGATGGATGGGAGGTTTATGAGAATGGATGGCGGAAGGGACGCTGACAAGGATCTTGCCATCTTCGATCGAATTCCAAGAAGATTCATGAACATGCTCAGTAGTCTTTCGAGCCAGAAGAAGCCTTTCGTAGGGCTTCTTTCCCTCTCTCACCCCAAAATCCACTACAGGCTCTCCATTCCGAGTCACCTATCCAATGATTCAGGCAAACGCATGATCGATAGCACGCGGTTACATTTCTTACAGAACATGTGTTTTATTGTGACAGAGGACCTTGCACCAAAACCACTGGGCTTGAAAGGTGAATCCCCACTTTGGGAAAAGGGTTTCACGAAGAGTCTTGAGGAGCTTTTCATTGTTGGTGCACCAAACGGCCAAAAGACACCCCGGTTTCCCCCATCGATTCACCTCCGCTGCATCCAGGATTTCATCTTCCCCCTTCAGTTGATTGTATCTGAGGGAAAGAAAGAACGAGACGAGGAAAGAAAGAAAAGCCCGCACTCGTCCAAAGGCTTCTTCCCTTCCCAGTTGTCAGAAAAAAAAGTGAGGAATCAGGGATCGATGAATGGATCCTTCCTCTTTTCTTTTCTCTCTCTCTCCCCCCCCCCCCCCCCCCCCCCCCCCCCCCCCCCCCCCCCCCCCCCCCCCCCCCCNCTCTTTTTTTTTCTCTCCCCCCCCCCCCCCCCCCCCCCGCCTTCCCCTCGGTCTGTCTTCGACATCGACCATTTTTTGCTTAAAAAAGACGAATGCCCGTAAGACAGTAAGAACTCGGGAACCCAATTAGTATCGAGCAAGATGCTTTCCTTTCCTGGGCTCTTTCCTCAGCTCCAGGTTGAAACGGTCTCCCAACTATCGACAAATTTCACCCGGCATCCATCTTTTCCACATTGAAATCCACTTACCCTGCACTCACATTCCTCTTCTTAACTCGCCGAATGTGCTTGTTACGCCAAGGTGGATCCATGAGAATGACGTCGAAGGCTTCCTCGGGGAACAGACTATTTGATTTGGTTCTCAAATCACAGTTGAAGAAACGGCATTTCGGAGGGAGGATGAATTCCTGGGTAGGAAAGGAATCCAGACGGTGGAAGCAAGGAAACGGCTCGGGATTGGAACCCGAGAACTCGAGAATGTCCAACCGAGGCCCATCTTCCAAGATGGATTTAGCCACAGTACGTGCGGCTCTGTTGTTGGTCAGTATGTCTTCCTCAGTCGCCTGAGTCTGGATGAAAAGGGAAGACTTGCTCAATCCCAGGAGATTCTCCAGAGATTTCTTCACTCCATCGCACGTAGGAGTGAGGAAAGAACGACGCCGGCCCCGCGGTCTCTATATCGAAAAAAAGTCCCGGATTAACAAGAACCTCTCCTGTTCTCCTGATAACACTTGGATGAAGCAGCTTTATTTTAATCTATTTCAAGCAACCTTTCTGGATTTGGTGTCCATATTCTGGGCTTGGGCATCCATGAGCCAGGGAGTTTTTATGTCCCATAATTCCATCCTCCCCATGTAATCTCTCCCCTCTGCAAATGAAAGATGCCTTTGAAACCTGAACACCGCTGAATGGAAACCGATAAGGAAGGACGACTTGCCTAGATTCCTATAAGCAGTTTGTAGTGCTAGTGAATGATCGAGGACCCAGCCCTCTTCTGCTTCCAGCACGATTCCTCTCTCGACGTCACTCATTGCACGAAGCAAAATGAAGAATCTCTATCCTCAGGGAATTGCATGAGAAGACCTTGAGAGGATTATCTTTAGAGAAATGAGAGGATCCTGCACGAGACCAGAAGAAATGTCCGTGTAAGCTAACGTCCCATCATCACCATCATCTCCAAGACTCCAAGGAGTAAGAGATAGAGATAGGCAAGGGAGCAAGCAGATCGGATTGACTCGAATTGATGTATTTTTAACTTGAACCTTTCCTGTCTACAATCATTACGGGAGTGGCGGCTCGTCAGGGGAGTCGATCTCACCAAAAATCCATTGGAGCACGCTCTTTCCCGTGTGTCTCTGAAATATCCATTGAGTGCCTCAAATCTCCCAAAAAAATCTCTCAGAACCATTGGTATCGATACTTACCTAGGATGACCAAAGGAAGGCCTCTAATGAACCTTTTACAACGCATAACGGTATCCCATAACACACACAATGCCATAGCATAGCTCGTATGTCAATAGGTAGGCTGTATATTTCGATAAAAAAGTCCTGTCCATGAGGGGTATCCCTGAACGAATCCATGCCGTGTAAAGTTTTCATGTGGTTCCACCCAAACAAGATACCTTCGTCTTTGGAAATCTCGTGTTCAGACCTCCAACCAAAACAGCTGTACCCAGACGTGCCAATTTAGCGTCATCACTGAGACTACTACTCAATGAATTTTAATTAAGTATCAAAATGTTTCATTTTCCCCGTCAGTTTTCTAGGTACACGGAACAAAAATAATTATTTTTCCGCTGCAAAAAAAATACTTACTAGGATAAAAGTGATTTAAGATATCTTAGGTTAGAGGTTAGGGTACATAGTTAAGGTACATAGAAAATATCCATTATTTGCGCACAGGTTGCGGGTTGGGGATGTCCAGGGGAGGAATATTTTTCATTTTTTACAGGCTGCATTGGCACGTCGTATGCTATCTCATTATGTCATATAAATTATTATTTTGAAGAAAATATATTATAGGAAGTATTGAATCAACTAAAACAGCACCTCCCTTTTCTGAATTTTTTTTCTTCAAATGTCTACTCTGGGACAGGGCTTTTCCGGGATACCGCCATGCTGTGATTGCACACACAACAGGTTGTCTTAAAGACGTATCCTTAGAGATATCGAGAAGCGTTCGACTGAAAATGTCGTTTTGGATATCACATGTAGGTCTTAGGACAAGTCTTCCAGTTGGGAACTTCCTTGGGATGTCTGTGCTGTATTGTTCTACATAATCGCGATAATCGCAAGTGTACTATATGGGATTCTGTTTTGGCGAAGTTCTGAAACTCGCCAGGGGCAAAAGTCGTCACCATTCTTTTCTCCTCTCCTATGAGTGTTCAATGGAAGTATCAATATTCGTTCTATTTTCTGACATCTATTCAATATGAAGTGCCACACAATACGGAGAGCGCTTTCTCTTTTTTGTTTTTGCTAGCATTTTTTTTGCTTTCAAACGACAAGAGTGCCAAAATACTCATCTGGTGCTTCACATACTCACTAAAAGCAAAATGGAAAGCAAAAACGTTCATTGTGATCATGAACTGACCACCCCAGATTTTTCAACCACTGCACTTAGGCCATTATCCAAGTTTGCATTGATGGACTCAGGGAGTACGCATATCGTAATCAAGAAGCTTTACCCATTGCTCTTTTCATAAGGTCGTGTTTGGGGCTCTTTGATGATGACCTTTGACCAAGGTCGGGGATCAGGCTTGTCCAGCTGATCTCACCCTGACTCAGAATCCCTTCAATTCACTCTTCTTAAATGACAAAAATCTCTCTCTCCAGAAGGCAGTTTATTGTCCCAAAAGCTGTAAGCGACAGAGGTCAATGGCAACAATGAAGCACAGATGCTACCATAGTACTTCACAACATTAGTTCAAGAGAAGCGACCTAGAGAAAATTTTCTGAAACATGGGACAAAGATACAGAAGTAACAGACAGCATCCTGTCCCATCATTCCAGATGGGAAAAAAAAACAATCCATATTGGGACAGTATTACTGATTATCTGTACGTTTTGTCACATGGTCATGCGCCTCTCAAAACCAGAGGGTAATTAATTTTTCGCTCCCTTTCTTAAAAAAAAAAGCTAGTTAACAAGGGAGGAAGCACGAACACAAGCTCATAAGAAGGATATGAGTACCCCATCATCACAGAAAGGAAAACTGGGGAATACATTGAAAGGAGGGAGAAAATTAGGTGGGTGACATTAAGTGAGCACAGGTCAGTGAGTGATGATCTGATCAGATGAGCACTGCATCCATGAGACTAGAATTTTCTTTCCAGGAAGAAAGACCACATGAGCATAACCTCCCACATCTCCTTTATCTGTTGTCGGTATCCAACTGAAAAAAAGTTCCAACAGATATGAGAGTACATACAGATGTTAAAGACAATTAGACTGACAAAGAGTTCACTTCAGTACCTCCAAATCAGGGATTCCTGGCATATGCTCATCAACAAGAGAGGCATCATGAGCCCAATCATGGTTTACTGAAGTTTCATCACCTGGACCACTTAGAGTGAAAAACTCACTGGTATCCTCTTCCCCCTGAACATTTTGAGAGATGCTGCTTCAATGCTCAAATGCATTACTTTTGCACTTGCTGATAAGCAATGTCTCACCTGATGCTCTTCGCTTTCATTTTCTTCTCTGTGATTGCCATTCACAAATTCAAAGGAACTATTCAAGTTGACACTGGACACCATATTTACACCTTGAATAGAATTGCCACCCTTTATGTGGTAAGCTTACATATATGAGAGCATATTTAATAAATTTTATGATAAGAATTTAAAAATTACCTCCAGTGTCTTCTTCCTCAAGAGAAACCTGTAAAAAAAAATAATATGTAGCTGGTGTACCATGAAGGTAAAAGAGGAAACACAATTTTCTGGATATTTGACATTAAAAAAATGAATCATATGTGTACATGAATCACTTTGGTAGAGCAAAAAATAAGTATGGCTGAAATTTTGCCAAAGCATGACTGGAGCCAGATGCATTACTGTTTTGTTCAGAGAAAAATCACAATAAAGAAATTGCAGTCGGTTGTTATAAACATCCAGAAAAGAAAGAATGAATCTCTACATGAAGTCACTATATGTTTTGCCTTTTTATTGCTATCAGGATCCAACTTACAGCTTACATCACCATGAGTTTAAGTTGCATGAATGAAAGAATTAATAGATAAGTATGCAGGCTTGTCCTCACCAAACAAGCCAAATATGTGAGTATCAACAGGGTCATTCGACTTCTACAACTCATGCTCAAGAGCTGTCATGCAAATGAGGAGAGCATAATACCTCTGTCCCCTTCAGAGCCTGAATGGATTCTTTCATAGCACTATTGAGGAAGGACTGGATCATGGATTGGGCATATCCAGATAGGCATTCAGGGGAAGGGGGACCTGGACTTGGCTTGGGAGCTTCCATGGATAATGGTTCCCCAAAGTCAGTGACCTCATCAAGTGATGGGTGAGTGGTCAAGAAGGAGATGGTCATCTTTCCACTCAAAACAACTGGAGTTCCATAATCTGTTTCTTCATCAGCATGGGGGGTAGGCTCTTCCACTGGTAAGGCTTTACATTCTGCTTCTGACACTAGGAATGACATGTCAGATGATAATGGAGTATCAATCAGGATGTTAGATACCTCTCCTTCCTCCTCCTCATCATGCTCTTCTTCTCTCTCTTCATCTTTGCATTCTTCTTTCTCTTCTTCTCCTGCCATAGGAGGGACTCCAGCAAATTGGATGTGCCTCTTTTGTGGAGCTGGACTCAATACAGTTGGGCTTCCTTGCATCTCCTCTTCAGGCACTTCTGATATTGCTCCTTCATCAAGGTCTGCTTGGTCAACTTCTGCTTCTTCCAGAGATGCCTTGTGGGAACAGAAACTTCACTTGAGGTTAGGAGTAGTAGAGTTTAAAAACTACCATGTCCTTATTCTTTTGAAAAAATCACAATATTCAATTTAAAAAATTCTCTGGTGGAAATAGCAATGATGGAATGCAGATACGAAGCTTACAATCTCTCTTTGCAATGCTGTGAACAAATTTTTAGAGTATAGGAGACTGTTCAAAACTCCCATGGAGACACCTGATGAATTCATGAAGTCAATATTTTATAGTTTCTTTATACTGATACTGTAGCAGTATACCATTGCTGCATGAATTATCTCCATTATCAAAACATCCTTGTACTCAGGTAAGATGTTGAAAGCCCAAAGAGACTTTATTCCATTAGAATCTCACTAATAAACTTTCTCTTCAAATTCTGCATTAGGGTCCCTCCCCTTCGGGTGATTCATTCCCAGATTCATCCATTGAAATGGATGACTCTGGCAGTAAATTCTGCAAATAGCAGTCCTATTAGATGGTATCTTATAAAATCAGCTCATCATTCCATTCAATACAAATCAGCTGATCATCAGTTCCATGAGAGTTTGGACCACTCTGTTTTTCATCATAAGGAAAAACTTACAACTGTATAAGTAATTTTGGCAGTGGAATATGATTTGTGAGCTCTTCAAGTAGGCATATTGCCTGCTTTCACAGTTATCATATTTTTGGCAGATATTCATGCATTACCCGATGCATTAACCAACTTCATCATCATGAACTGAACTCCCCACATCAGGCTCAATTAACCACTTGACTCCTGGCATTTATTTGTCTCTGAGAGATGTAATCTTTCAATATTGATAAGTTCTCACAACAAGAAAATGAAATGACTATGATGTGGCAAAGTAAGATAAAGAAAAATTATTTTTAAAATGAGCCATTTTTCAAAATAAGAGGAGGCTATTTAACTGTTTGTGTTCCCAATTTTGTGGGTAAATGATAACTTAAAACATATCCTCCTCATGATTATGAAAATTGGAAGACATACAGGAGTGAGAAAATTATAACCAGAGTTCATTTTTGAGAGAATTTTTGGAAAAATAGTACTTACTACAAATTTTCAAGCTGAAATGTGATCATTGTGAAAAAGATTGACAGTTACCATTCTTCCTGGTTCTCAAGGAAATGAGCATGTGTTGTTTCATCAAGCATGCCTAGTTCTGGATCAACACCAGTGTGATTTACCCACCCCTTCCAGCTTATGTACTGCACTGCAAAATTCACTAGACTTTTCACCTACAAATGAGTTCAAGCTCACTTGTTCATTGAAATGCTATTCTTTTACATTGCTTATGTAAATTAGTCTTGTTCTCTCAAGTATTAATGCAACTGAAGCACTTTGTGTGGAAGCAAGATGAGGAACCTTATTATCATCTGAGACTAAAAGTCCCTGTTGTCAGAGGGCACCCAGATCAGTCATTTTTCCTCCAATGAGAGGAAGTACCATTTGAACATCACTGCAAATGAAGGGGCTTGGTCCCAAAAAATCCTGAACTTTTCATCAAGGCAACCATCAGCTGAGGTGGCTCTCTTCCAGCTGTAGAAAATGACGCATAACAGTGATGGTGGGTTATGTCTGGTATCCAGAGAATTGCTGTTCACATGTTCCTACCTGATTTCACTTTAAGTGCTTCAATGTCACATTTTTAGTGACAATGGAGGAATGATACAGTACTTAACTTTCAAAATCAACTTAGAAGAGGCTCATTCAATGAGAGGACTTGAACCGATTTGCTTTCACTGGTAGGTAAAAAGTCCATAAACTTTCTTATGTAGCTGATGGATCCATTTTTGACAAATAGAAAATAAGGCAGCATGAAGCAATGGGGATTGAGTTATTAGCTCCATATATCTTTTTCATGATGTCCACTCATCTTCCTTTTATTCCCAGAACTCAATGAAAAATGGCCCAATACCTGACTGGACTTGCAACTTGCAAAGCCTTTTCCTACTTCATAGAGGGAGAGTCATGGACCACTCATACTTACTGCTGGGAGAGAAGTGGTTAATTTTTCCTTAAATGCTTGCCCCAACAGATAGTGACAGGCCAACTAAGGTAATAACAGCAGGAATCACAAACTCTACACTAGAAAAACCTCATGCTATAGGCTGCAAAAGCTAAGGAAGAGATCCTAATTAAGACAAGGGTGGTTTTGACACTGAAAATAAAACAAATGTAAAACAAGGTAACAAGTGAGCAAATGAAAAATTTGCACAATATATATGCATGACATGAAGAAGGAAAATATGAAAATTAACCATAGTTTCGATAACTAACTGTTTGAGAAGCAGAATAAGCAGTCCTCTCAAAGAGCAGCTTGCCTAACCATGGAAGATGATATAATGTAGAGATGAATAATTCAAGAAGCAATACAAAATTCTTTACACTTGAACTTATGTCATTTTTAGACCTACACACTCTTCTGCTTTAACCATGCATCAATAGAAATATATAAAAATTACTGTTTCACTTAAGCAGCTGCATTGTTCCTCATGGGCCATTCCACTCTAATTCATATTAAGAAAAAAAAAAGGTTCATTCACTGATTAGCAATTTTTTCAAGTAATAGATATTTGTAATAGGAATCACTGTGAATATTGTAAGGTTTTATTATGTAGACGCTGTAGATTTGTCATAATATTGTGGGTGGGTTTGTACAAATGTATGGTTCATTGAAAGACTAATACCAGGAGGAGCTATCACATTAATTCTGATCTTAATTGAAATTGAAAACAAATCAAATCTTGAACATAACTTTACAGCAAAATAAAAAAAGCAGTGATCCCAGCAATAAAGTAGGCGCTCTGAAAATAATCGATATTAGGCAAAAAGTAACACAACATAGTACCAGTGACAAGACAATGCAGTTTCCCTAGGCAACAATTTTTAGCAGTTGAAGAAGTGGCATTTATGACTGAATGCAAAATCGGCAAAATATGCTGTCCCAAAAATAAAAAAATTCTATTGCCCATACTTGGCATCAGATTATTTTTCAAAAACCTATAGTGACTCTTATAACAAAATAAAACCAGAAGAATCAAAGAGGATTACTTTTTCTCCATTGAGTGAATTGAGATGGAATGACCATTGAGTATAACTTCCTCAAAATTCAAGCAGTGAGACATTCCTTACAGGCCATCAGTAATGGTGGGATACACCACTGTAAGTGATGTATTTCAAGTTTTTCCCATCTTAGGTATATGGCAAGCTGTGTAGAAAATCATGCACTCATATATAATACAACTGACTGAAAAAATACATACTAGCACTCAATGAAGTTGAAGTACTTGCATATGGCATCATTTTCCACCAAGAGCAACCTGAGAATTAATTATTCAAATTCTGGTGCTCAGGATACATAACAAACTTTTCTGCAAAAAAGTACCAAGGCAAGCTGCTCTTTCTCAGAAAGTTTATTCTAGCAAGGCCTTTTTTCTTTAGCAAGCAACAAGAGTGAAGTACCTTGGAATTTCTAGCTTCTCCAGTCTCCTTTTCTCTAAGCTTTCTCAACCTTTCCTTTTCTAGGAATTCTCGGTAATCATCCATTTCTCGCATGATCCCTTCCATTGCTTTGATGACTAAAACACCAGAACAAAGGCAAGACCAGTGATGACAGCTGCTTACTAAAGAGTTAGGGTTGGAAACAAAGGTTCCTGCCAGACTCAATCTATCAAAGTGAAGCATACAATGAAGTTTACATAAATGCCAATGAAAGAGGGCTTCAGCAGCATACAAAAAGATGCCAATGAGTCAGAGCAGGAGAATGACATAAACACATGCTGGCCACATGTCATCGTGCTAAGGATGAATAAAAAGGACCTTAAAATGTTCAGTTAGTCCTTGGGCTTCCTGAAGTAACTCAGCCATAGCAGAAGATGAGAGTCTGTCAGTGACAGAGCCTATCTGTTGCATAATGCGCTCCATTGCTGCTTCGGTTTCAGCTAAGCGTTTCCTCAGTTCCATTATCTCTACATCCTCTGCAAACAAATTCAGTAAAATGTCACGTCTCCATAGATCTATTATCTATTGAAATGTGACCAGCATTAAGAGTGAGGAGCAATACTTCAACTTTTGAACCATTACAATAAAAGTTGGAGCAATCCAGGGTTGGCTGCTTCAACCTAAGTAAATGACTCAGATCAAGTTTTCAGCCTTTTTTTCATTGATTCCACCATATGAAGTCAGAAGGGAATTTGGAATCCTGCATGCATTCTTCTAACTTCAGGAATTTCTTCAATTTCAGAAGCTTATTTTTAATGAGTTTATAAAAAGTATGCTTTGCACAGGTTTTCAGTTTTCCAAGTTGGTTTCCACCTACAGGGTATGTGAAGAAAATGAAAACCTCAGGCTTGAATTACTCCATACTAAAAGAAAGAAGTCCTATACTGAAATGACATCTTCTTGTACTCTCTTCCTCTGTCTTCTCTTCTGGGGGTAGGAAAGACTCCATCATAAATGAGTAGAGGCATAGGCAATATTTCTCATCTTCTAGGTGAAGCTGTCCATTCTTCAAGTCAGCCACTTAAGCCTTCTATGCACTCATATTAATGCTTACCCTCTTCAACAGATTGCATTCCTTTACCATCTAATATTTTAAAATGAAACACTTTCAGGTTGGTCTTCAGTCCTAGAGCTACAGTGCTAGCCAAATTCTTCTGCTTATAAGAGTTACAGAGAAAATAGAGAATAGTTTCTTTATCATGGAACTCTTTGAGTCTGCAGCAATTAGTAGCACCACAAGGTCCTGTTTAGCATGAATATTCCTATAAGATGAAACTTTTAGTCCATATGCTTCTGTTCCCATGATTCCTTTGACTGCCTGAAGCTGATACATCTCTCCTTTTGAATACACTTACACACTTTCTTACTTGACTCATTATGCCATATTTATACAAAGTTATTTATTCTAATAGGCATATGCTTGTCCAAGCATGATGTTCATTCAATGTAAAATGGTCCAAAATTGAGGTTTGCTGCACTGGGATGTGGTTATAAAAAGTAATGGCTCCTGGGAGTTGTCAGAAAGTGGTAACTCTGACATTTCAACAGTCTAGGTCTACTAGTCTTGGATATGTCCCCCTTGAATTTATGAATGGGCAGGGCAAATAACCCCTGGGACAAAACACCATTTCCCAAATATTCAAGCTAGAAAGCTATAGGTTATACATGAAGTGACTATCTCAGAACAAGTCTTCATTTTTTAATCTAAAGTAACCATTTATTTAATGCAGGTAGACTGCTTGTAGACCTCAGAATGATGTCATATCTTTTCTCCTTCAAATTTTTTTGACAGTGAATCATTTTTCATGCTGTTTGTGAGAATGGTACCTGCCGAAAGTAAGGTTTTCTAGAAATGTTTCATTCAGGCTAGTTACTTCTGGTGAACTTACTGAAAACCTTATTTATCATTCTAAATCCTTTCATGAAAGTTTAAACTTAACTCTGTTCCACTGAAAACTGAATAAGCTAAAAGAGAACCGATACTTCATAGATAAATCTTCTAATCACTATATATTTCTATATTCCAATGATACTAGAGTATGTAATATCAAAATGTGATCAAAGGCTAGAAAGTCAACTGGACCAATTATATATAATCATTTTTCTTTTTCTTTGTTTTGTTTTGCATGTTCTTGTTTGAGCATTGGCATCTTGCAAACCTACCAATTGCCAATGACACATGTGCTGGCAGTCAATACTAGTGGTTGCCGATGCATTGGTACATCCTAGTAAAAAGGCCTCCACTAGAACATTAAAACATTCTTGTGTTCTCCCAAATTCTCAAGCAGAGCTACTTTTATATTTAAATAAAATATGGACTACCTACACAATTATTCTACTTTGAACCATCACATGGTTAACTCTGACAGAGCTGCATACAGTTCCCCTAACATTTACAACCATAACTCCATTACATTCTCATGTGAGAATTATATTATTCAATGTCCAAAACTGACATTTTGAAACAAATCAACTTCATTGTAGTCTGCTGCAGTAATGCAAATTATATACAGGGTGTTCGTATTTAAACGCAACACAGGGAATATATTGCCGCCTGAAGGTGGAGGTTGAGGAATGCTATAGGGCCAACCGGGTTGCATATTGGCAAGGATACTACACACTAGGGATAGGTTTCATCCTTCCAGATATGCAACTCGGCAAGCTATAAGGCACGCCCTGAACTCCACAAACAGGTGGCAAAAACATCCCTATGTTGCGTTTAAATATGAACACCCTGTACCAAGTTGCTGAGTTATGCATGACATTCATAGATCCTAAGAGTAATGTGGGACCTGTAATTTTAAAATATAACTCTGCTTTTGATATGATTTGAAATAGAATGAATGTGCCAAGTTGATAAACCAAAAATCTAGACTTGGAATAAAACAATTCTCACTCAATGACAAAGGGGAAGTATATACCCCATATCAAACTTTACCTCACTGATCATTATTCCATGAGGGTTTGGCTATGTTCTAGTCCATTTGGTGAAATGGCTGCATATCTTTGCTTCAGAAATGCATGTTATTACTACAAAAGTGCTTGAAACAATAGACTCACAATCATGAAATCATCTACTTGCAATGGATACATACCCCTCCTCATGATGGTGACGATGTAGGAAGGATTAAAAAAAAAAGCTCATATCTGTTACCCAATCATATTAGGTTGTTCCGAAATAAATGTCCGATTTTCGAAGTGTAATGTTTTGTCTATCATTATACCTGTCAATTTTGCGATAACCAGTTATTGTTATATACCGTTTTTTTCAGCAAACCTTTCTCTATGTAAGCCACTTAGTTGCTTTTTATTTATCTTTAGCCTAACGTTCCTGTAGCTGCCAAAGCGAACGATGGAGAAACGCAACTTTCGTCCGATTTTTCTTTACGAGTTCAAACTTGGAACTAATGCTGCCGAAACGGCGAATAAAATCAACACTGCGTTCGGCCAAGGATCGGTCACGGATCGCACCATTCGACGCTGGTTCGAAAAGTTTCGTAACGGAGATGAGACTCTCGAAGAACAGGAAGGTAGAGGTCGGAAAGAGTCTCTTGACGACGCCGTTCTGAAGACTATGGTGGAACGTGATCCCCATGTAACGGTCCGAGAGCTTGCGGAAGAATTGTCTGTTGGCATCGCAACCGTTTCCCGTCATCTGAACGACATTGGAAAGACGAAGAAGATGGACAAATGGGTTCCGCACGAACTCACCGCGAGTAATCGCACTCGCCGATACGAGATCAGCTCCGCATTGCTTCTACGCAACACAAACGACCCTTTTCTCGACCGTATTGTTACGTGCGACGAAAAGTGGCTCCTGTACGACAATCGTAAACGATCGGCGCAGTGGCTGGACCGAGATGAGCCTCCCAAGCACTTCCCAAAGCCAAGCGCTCACCCGAAGAAGACTATGGTCACTGTATGGTGGACTTCAACAGGAGTGGTGCACTACCACTTTCTGAAACCTGGTGAAACAATCACAGCGGAGAAGTACTGTGACGAACTGGACACGATGCACGAGAAACTTCGCAAACTTCAGCCTGCATCGGTCAACCGAAGGGGGCCGATTCTGCTGCACGACAACGCCCGACCGCATGTCGCACATCTCACCGTACGCAAACTGAATCAGCTGGGCTACGAAACTCTGCCTCATCCACCATACTCCCCAGACATATCACCTACGGATTACCACTTTTTCAAACACCTGGATCACTTCGTCAAGGAGAAACACTTCCATGATCAGACCTCTGCCGAAGATGCCTTTAAGGATTTCATCGCCTCCAGAACCCAGGATTTCTACTCGACTGGGATCAACAAGCTTGTATCTCGTTGGCAGAAGTGTGTTGAAGCGGATGGTGCTTACTTCAATTAAAAATGTTCATTATCAGCTGAGTTACGATCCTTCAAAGTTTGCGATCGAATTCGGACATTTATTTTGGAACAGCCTAATATATACTAGCCAATTTATGAAATTCTACATTAAAGCATTTTGATATAAGTTGAAAAGCAAATTTTTGCAGAAAATTGCAATACTTTTTTGCAGATTTTGACAGTAAAATGGATTCAAGAAGCAGAGTTATACTCATGGCTAAGACAAATAATGATGCCCCATTATTTTGGCACACAACAAAGACACCCTAAAGACAACTTGACTTCTATTAGAAACAGACTTCCTTTTCTGGTATGCAGAGATAAAAGTAGCCTTTGGCTAGAAGACATGCAAACTCTGAGCCCTTAGCAAGATCAAGCAAGATTATCTGATTCATACCCTTCACCTTCAAAGCCAACGATGAAGCAGGCATATGAATAATGCAGAAAGACTGAAGAGTAGAGCTCTGGAATGGAAGCACTTAAACAATCAACATGACTTAAAAAAAAAAAAAGTTTGCCTTTAAAAAAATAGTCGTTTGAATAGAGCTGGCAAGAGACACTTTGCTAAAATCAGATATTCTGTAGATGGAAATCCAATAACTGATACCTGATAATGCTTAATTATAAGAACTAAAAATTTTTCCCAAGTAGGGGACATGTTTCAAGGTGAAGTCACACTTCTTCAGTTTCCCTGCACCATGTATGCTGAATGGATTCCTGTCACAAATGGGAGTAAAATGAGCCTTGTTGTTAACAACAATATGTTGTTAAGTCATATTTAGCTTTATTTTGACATTTATTTTCCCTTAACCTTTAGTGACATGTCTTGCAAAATTCTTGCACTTCTTCTCCTCCTGTTTCATGGTTGTTCCTTGTCTTCCCCCCCCCCCCTGGTTCTAGGATTTCCAAGGCTTGGTTCACAATAATTTAAATTATATGTTAATACAGTCAATGCTTGCTATTATGAAATTCAAAGGGGAATTGTTTTTTTTTCATTATAGCATGTTCATTAAAACTTTTTTTTTAATTTTGAAAAAAGGAATTAAATGTTCATCAAACCTGAAGATAAAGTAGAAACATTTTACTTCATATAGTAAAGTGTTGCTTTTGGCACTGGCATGATGAATTGAATGTGCAGGACTAATTGATCATGTGTGAAGGTAATACGTATACCACAATAATTAAAACCACTTATCTGCTCCATTATCAGTTTGTTATGGGACAGAACTAGTAAGAAAATATTGTGATTTCATTGCATTGATTTCATTGATTGCCAAAAACAAGCTTTTATGAGCTTGTTTTTGGCAATCAGTACATGGAAATTACTTTGTCACAAGGTATCTTTTGGAATATCACAATTGTTACTACACTTTATAATAAGTACAGGGAAATGCTGGGGCTGACCAAATGTTGATAATTTTTTTTATAAATGGTATTTTTCATTAAAGTGTACCTCATTATAATGAGTGCTGACTGTATTATCAGTTATATTGGACTATTTTTTGCAATGTAATTTTATTACATATTTTAATAGCAGTACTCAACTCTCAAAAATCTGTCTTTTACTCTTAAGCTATCCATGGTATTCAGGCTTATAGTGAATCTTTAAGATTAAACAAGTCTAGAACACACATAACAAGAGGCCTGGCCTTGTCCCACATGACATTGTAGGATCTCCTCTTAATACATTGAGCCCCGGGCAAATAAAAACAGTATTCAGCTACCGGAGCCCGGCCATTTTCCAGAGAAACTACAGTAGTTATTTATTTTAAAATTAATATTTACATAACTAATCAATGTATCAGTATGATTCCAACACCAATTTGTTCAGGAATGTTCAGTGAATCAACTAATATTGCCAGCGGTAAAGAGATATTGATTTGAGTTAAAAAGTATTTGAATATTATAGGTCTGCATCAAAATGTAATATTATGGGTCCAGGCTGCTGGGCATGACTTTGTAACATGTAATATTATAGTTCCAGGGCTCAATGTGTTAAAACTCCGATCAGCTCCCCTTGCACAAGAAAAAGGAAAATAAATGTAGTAAAGTGCTGTTACAATTAAGTGGTAGAAGAATGTGCAAGTCATTTTCACAGTTGAGGGCATTTATTTGATTAAAGGGGGGGCATTTGTAAATTAGATAAATTCTTAACATTCAGGGCATATAAAATCACTAAACTATAAGGAGAACTTTGATACAAGTTTGGTATGATAGGGTTTTACTGTAAAAGGTCAAATTTTGAAATTGACTGCTATTGATACTGATAGCCAACATCAACCAACAGCATTAACAGTTTTGCTGTTGGCCAAAGTACATATTTGGGCTTGTGCATTGGTAGCCTGAGTATGTACTTGGGCTCTCACACTTCACTGCTTCTAGGTTATTTCACCACTATTTATGCATGTAACCATGTAATTCAATAGTTTTCATGATATGGCATTTTAAACATAAACCATTTTTTTCAGGTAAACAGTTCTAATTTTTATAACACAGGGGATGGCAGATTTTTTTTTGTAGAACAATGAAAGAGTTAACTTATTCTAGTACTAATAAAATATTGTTAAAGCTCTACTTTTAATTTTTAACTTTTTTTTATTATTTTTTCTCAAAGTTATCTGTGGTATCAATTTCACTCAGAAGCATTTAATAATCCTGAAAAGAAAAGGTCAGATGTATGTCCTTAAATGAATGTATGCAAGGGATGTGGAATGCTAAGTCTTTTGCAGGGACAAAGATGATGACACTCAGCCTCCATTATGTTAAACTTCTTTTTCCTATGAATTTCTCCATGACAGCATTAACCAAATCCTCCACATAATCAACAGGAAATCAAAAGAAAAAGGTAGACCCACTCACTTTCATCACACTCCTTCCTCCCTATGGACAGAAAAAGAACCCACACCAAGCAATGTGTTAGTGAGTACTATCAGCCTCTATACAACCTCTACAAATAGGAAAAACTATTGTCATGTATAACTTTTGCTTGCTAGGCTATTCTGTGTCTACAATCATCTGATTAGCAAGAAACAACTTTTTAGATACAATGAGATCTCTGTAAAGCGACATCTCCAACAAGAGATCATATATCATGCACACATTTTGGAAATGAACTGCAACAGCCTATTACATATGCAGGCATGGATAAATTATAAGCAGCCAGAAAAATGCATTTTTGGTTACAAATTGATCACTTCCATTATAAGTTCACAGCTAAAATGCTTGTAGAAGTTTCAATATCATCCTTCCATAATATTCTTCCTTGGTTCTTTTTTTCCTTTTGTCTCTTAACATTTTGTGGGAAAAATTTAAAGAGCACTGCTCTTTAATTATTATTATTTTTTTGATTGATTAAATTAAATTAATAGTGAAAAAAAGCACTTTAGAATGTACTTTAGATTGCAAATTCTAATTCTTCAAAACTGGAACTGCTCATTTACAAGTAAACTATGGAATAGTAAAGTAAAAATGCATATATTTATTTTCACTTCTCTTCTGGTTCATGCAATCATGCTCATGAATAAATATTTGCATTCCTTACTGGGTTAAAGAAGGGGACATGTCAAGCAGGCCTTTTCAGTTAATACCATGATCATCTAAAGCAAAAGAGGCTCAGGTTTCGGGTGGTTTTACACCAATGCAGATTGAATCTAAAGTGAGTATTTTTGCTGGAGTTAGACCTCATTATATGCAATGGTACTATGTTATATAAAGCACACAGGATTGAAGATGACTGAAGCACATTTTTTTAGTGCAGTCAATGCATTTCTCATAGACAGGGAAGAGTCCATTCAAGTTAGAATGCTATCTCTTTCAAAGAACAAATGGCACTAAACCTCCTGATTTAAGACCATAAGGTATATTATAGGTCAACAGATCCTTCCCCGTTTCTGTAGGAGTGATAAACCTTCAAGTAGATCAATTAAGAAATACCAAGAAGAAGCAAAGATTATCAACACATCAGGCAACCTAAAGGTTTTCAGACATTCAACAAGAAACACCTAAACTGTTTAATACATCTTCAACATTTCTGTTTTTTTTTCAGGAGCTTCTGAGGCATACAAACATGATTTGGCCATGAGACAAACCAATTCCTGCCCTTATGAATGTAGCTAGATACCCAAGACAAGTCTCCATTTCAAAAGATTTTCAATGCAGAATGAAATTCCTGCCTTTGATTGTGTATGATTGAGTCTAATGAAAAAAGTCCACCCTTCCCTGAAGACAATAAAAGGAGTTTTTCATTGACCAGAAACTCATAAAGAGCTTTGGCAACAAAGATCATGATGTAACTTCAGCAAACTAAGCTGAGAAACAGCTTGAGAGAGATGAAGCATCAGTTACAGAAACATCAGAAAGCTTCACATGGTTTCATCTTACACATTTATTTAGACAACTCAGGAATAATTATTTGCCAATTACCCTGTTGGTTTGTATCGGTGAACACCAGAGCACATTCTTCATAGAGGATATGCTCTGTTCCAAAAAGCCAACTCAAAACATGAGAACACTGGCTTCTTTCATGTTCACCCACCAGAAACAGGCAATTCCCTAGTGCTTCCAAAATCAGAACAGAAAATGCCAAAACTTAAAGTACCCTAGCTTAAATTTAACCAGAACAGTGAATTGCAGGAGCACAGACAGCACTGAAACAATTGAGGTCAAATACAAAAGAGTCCATGATGAAAATTGAGAAAACCTACATCCAAGGTGCTGTGTAGAGGGAATTGTACAAAATGCAAACATAATAGTCTTATCTTGTGCATTGACAAAATAAAAATTGAAATTACAATTTAAATTAAAATGCAGGAGGGAGGAAAAAAAACCTTCCACTCAATTCAGAATCCAGAGAACATGCATCATTTAACAGGCATTGTGAGATTCCTTACCAATCTTCTGCTTCTGCTCTGTCGTAGCAGGAGGTTGAGGCTTTCTGTCATGCTGGTACTGATATTCCTCAGGGAACACATACTTCCTGTGCTCTGTGTCCATGTGGAAGTCCATCACCTGGGGTGTCCGATTCTGGTCATTTTTCTTGAGGAGAATCTGGAGTAATAGATAGCTCTAAATTAGAACTAGGAAAAATTCTTAAGCTAGCAGTCTTTTATCCAATAGAGCTGAATGTAAAAGGAATCATACCAATTGCAACCTGGTAAGGAACCAAGATTTGAGTAGTTGTTGATTCAATAATACAAGATCATAAACAACAGGAAATAATGACTGGACACAGATTTGACATGCATTTCCATAAATTTTATACAAATGTGAGAATATGAGAAAAATTATGCTGAGGTTCAAATTGGCCCAACAATGAACTTCAAGGGTTCAGAAAACATATTGACTGGAATGCCCTCTCCAAACTTACAGCAAATTTATATCATTGACATGATATAAATTTGCTGTAAGATTTCATATCTTCTATGTTTTGACACAAAACAGAGAATATTAGGAATATATGAAGTATAAAACACAGTTTGTACGTGTGTTATACTTCATAAGTCCCTCAAAATAAAACACACTAATCATTGCTCAAAATTTTGGGACAATTGGGAAACCTGAAAATTCACACCGATTTCTTGCTGGGCCCTCACAATCAACATATCTTACATCATTTTTTATAGCAAAAAGCCATTAATTCTTTTTCTTTTTCAGCCAATGAGAGCCTCACCGTTGTGTGGCACCCACCTAATGAGGGAGTAATAAGAGTGAGAAGTGGGAAGTGTCAATCAAATCAGCAACCCCCAAACCCAAGGGCAACTCTGACCCTTTTTTTGGGGGGAAGGGGGGGGGGGAAAGAGGGGATGATGCCTACCTGCCCTGTATGAGGAAAGGTATTTTTAAAATTTTTGGAAGTAAAGGGCTAAAAGGAGAGGAAGCTCTGCCATTGGCTTCCTTCTTCACTCTCCTTCCCACACCTGTGAAACTTTAATCAATTTTATGGTATGCTAGCATGAATTTGTGTATCAAATTTCATCAAGATCACTCAACTACTTCTTGGTCATGCTTATTATTTTGCCGATGAATATACAGGTTGTCCATAAATGATTCATACAACTTTAATCTTTAATAAATCATGAACAAATGAATGTACATATATGTGGATTATAGCAAATGAAAGCTTGACATTCCAAGTTTTATAACATGCATTACAATTTTTAAAATAAGTTGTAAAAACTATTTTTCAGCTTCTCAGACGTGAAACAGTGACTCCACAAGAGAAGGTGAGTGCGTGTTGCGGTTTGTAGAGTTGAAGTCAGTCACACAGGTGCAACACAAGTTCAGAACCGTTTACAGCAAGAATCCTCTTGTTCATGAGATAAGAGCTCTTGTAGGCCCTACACTTTCCCATTCCTGTTCCCAGGAATGGGAAATTCCTGGGAACATTCCCTGGGAAAAGGGGACATTCCTTAAATTGCTTCACCTATTGGATGTTGAAACATGGACAAAAGGATCCTTGCTGTAAACAGTTCTGAACTAGCACTACACCTATGTGATTGACTCCAACTCTGCAAACCACAATGCACATTTGTCTTCACTTGTGAAGTTGGCAAAATTTTGTTCTAAAATTTGAAATGGATGGAATAAAACATGAAATATCAAGCTTTTGTTTGCTGCAAATCACATATATGTGCATTCATTTGTTCATGATTTATTAAAGATTAAAGTTGTACAAATCTTTATGGACAAAACCAATTTCATTTTGGTCCCATCTCCAATAGAAACCACAGAATCTCAGCTCACACCTCACCTTCATGATGGTGTAGACAAAGAAGATGACAATGCCAACTGTGTAGACAGGCATAACAATGCCCATAGTACCACTGCCTTTTACTTGAGGCTGGACAATATGCCCAGGTCCTCCAATTGTGGGTCTCATGCCTGGCTGAGGAACCTAAATATACATATTACATGATCATGAACATCAGATTTCAGTCAAGATTTTCTGCATTAGCATGAATTAATATAGGAAGAGAAATTCTTACTCGCTGCTGTTTCTCACCATGAGCCCTTATGGCCTGACCACGTTCACGCATTGCTGGGTGCATAAACTCATTTGGTGTGCTTTTGGTACGCTCCTGCCTCAAATGGGCTGTGGAAAGAGGACAGTACCTTCATGATTGAGAAAAATCCTTCCAGAAAAGTTCAGTCTAACAATTGATGACTTTCATGTTTCTTAACTTCGTCAAATTTTCCCCACCAAAAAATATCAGATTAATACTTTTAAGGGAAAAAAAAAGGAAATGTGAAATGAAATATGGAAAATTTTAAGGGAAAAATACTGTGAAACTCATTGAGCAGAATCAAAAAGACTTTGATAAAAGCAAAGCAAGTCATCAAGACTGTGAAACCTCATCAAGATCAATCTTTTCCTCCAAATCAAATAAATAATTTATTCTCAGCCTGAAACTGATGAGTCATAGTAAGCCTTGTGCTGGGCAATGGCTGCTCTTGGACACTGTTTTCAGGCTTCTTATTTGTTTAAAAAAAAATGGATAAAAAGCCTTTTGCAAAAAATATGTACTTACATGAAAAAATTAATTTTGATTTTCCTATCATAGCACCACCCATCTATTTATTCATCTGGACCCAAGTAGGGAGATTCCACTCCTGACTGGTGGTACATGTTGATTCAAAACCATAAACTGATAGCATAATTTTTATTTCATTAGAGATGTAAGCATGGATGAGATGGCAACTTTCACGGGCACTAAAGCATCACCATAATGACTCATTGAATAAAATGAAAGGCTAAGACCACTTCCTATATGAAAAAAGGTAAACCACACTTCCTGCTACTAGTATAGCATATCCAGCCCAATTTGATTCCCCAGCGATGATTAAGCCAATTGAGGAGGGGTGAACATTTGGTTGGATATACAATACTTCTCTCACTGAACAAGAAAAATACTATTTCTAAATAGATAAAAAAAAATTTCACCCATGCATGTAACTACTGGTAAATGCAGCAATAAAATTTGCACATATAAGAATCATGCAAGCATAAAGGAAGAGAGTAAATTCTGACCCCCACATGCAATTGGCACAATATTATTCTGATTGCTAAGCCTTCTTTTTGCATTCTCAGATTGACATTTTCTTCTAATAAAGGTATATGATATCAGATATTATCATATCACATGACACTGCAATGGCATATATACTAGCATTCAAAAGAAATGTTTCAAGGTAATGTAAGGTTCACCCACATAGTAGTCGTAATGGCATTATATCTGCCCTTTGCTGAACAAGTCAACAATGTCTGAATTTTATTAGCATGTACAACCTTTGAGCACTGTGCATGTACCATGTCAGGAATATGCCATTTTAAATTTTCTCCATGCCATATATAAAGTCTGGATTTCCATAGGTAAAAAAAATATGGGTTGATTCCATTAGACATGTCAAACCATCTCCTAAAAAAATCAGAGACATCCCAAGGCTAATGAATAAACAATGGGACGAGGTAATTAAAATGCTCCAAGAGGGTGTAACCTAACAAGGATTACATCCTCTTAGAACAAACTGGCAAAACACTTGACCTTGAGGGATGTAGCAATTCTCCAGATCAAGTGCGCTGCCAGGTTTGAGATAGCACTGATTTAACCCAGTATTGGCCACACAAGCACATCCAAAATGCGATACAACTTCCTGTTGCATTATGTCCTTTTAGTGCGTTTTAATAACCCAAGTCCCTTTGTTGCTGCATTAGATTTGGAATATCTTTGGAGTCACATGCACAGTGTAGTTAACCAATTTTTTAGGTATGGAAATCTAGACTTTATGGAGAAAACCTAATAGGCATATTCCCAATGTGGCACGTGCACAGTGCTCAAAGGTTGGTGAGTACATGCTAATAATGTTCAGGTGGTGTTGACTTGTTCAGCAGAGACAGATATAATTCCATCACAACTCCTACTACACAAGTGAGCTCTACATTACCTTGTAACATTTCCTTCAGATGCTAGAATAGTATGGTCATAGTGTCTCATGACTTTTGAGTCTTGAGTCTCAAAATTCATGTTCATGCTCACATGAGCATAAACTTGATACCTTTTATGCTTCCATTGATAGCCTCCAATAGATCTGCCAGTGGAAAGAATTTCAAATGTAAACTCCTCAGTACAGTATATCATGTGGTCTGCAGGAAACCTATGAGGTAGAGGAGTTCTCTTATTTTCTAGCTGCTGCTGTTCTTTTATTGAAGATAAAGAATACAGACCATCCAAGATCAAACATATTGAGCTGATAGCAACAGAGAGATATAGGCCTACCCATCTAACTCCAGAGGTATACATTCTGGGGCCTTAAGGAGGGAGGGGGAGAATTAGTCAGAAGGATGTTTTGAGTCAATAAATATGGCAATGATGCTCCTCATCATCTAAAGCATCTTTCAACCAATTTTGAGTACTCATGTTCAATCCATGAGGTGTTGAACTGTTTTCTTTTGCTCAAAACTCCCAAGTCCCATTATATGTAAATTTGTCCCAATCAACAAAACCAATGGCTACATAAATTAGTCTTATGCAATCATTTTAGCCCCTTGCTATCACTTGACAGCGTACACCATCATGACACCTTCCTTCAATAGAAAATGTATTTAAAATTGCATGAATGTGATAGAGATATTGGGTTTGGTTAAAATTGCATGGGAATTGTTACCTTTATCTTTAGAATTAGTATAAATTTTTAAGACTTGCCAAATTACAAAATTTTTATGACAATACAAACTTTAATGGTTCTATCACTGTCAGTCATCAAATAGTCAAATATAGGTACCATTTGGCAAAGTTACAGAGAAAAGATAAAAACACAAATGTATAAAAATAATGACAATATGTATAGCCACTTGTGAGAGATTCCCATTCTAGGTCAATTCTGCACATTTCATCAAGTGGCTTTTGGAAAAGTTTGGCCAACAGCAAGCAGAAAGGTGTAACAATATGGATGTTATTTCCAAATGCCATGAAAAAATTGAAGGAAAAAATTCAAACAAACAGTGACTTATTTTTCTGTAAAGGGTGGCACAAAATACTGCAAAGTACATTGTGGAAATGCAAAAGCCAAGTACAGGGTTTTGATCTGGGTATGTATGTCTCTTCATCTTTAAGGTATAGGTGATGCCTGGTTTCCTAGTTGGAAGACTGACAAAAGGATGGATTGAAAGCATTCAAGTGGGAAGCTTCTGAGTGTCATGAGATGCTGGTGCAGTTTTTAGTGTTCTATTCCCTCTTGAAACCATATTTAATTATTACTGTTTAAAATGCAAATGGAGAAAGTACTATATTCAAAAATATGTAAACACAATACAAAATAATGTGAAAAAGTCAGTCTTTCCAGGACATTTTTCTCACCTGCTCAGTTTCATCTGTAAAGGGGGGAGATATCACTTCATGGGACCCTGTACAACCATTGGTGAAGTATTTTCTCTCTAAGTCCATGCAACAGGCCCACTTAAAGGCTAAATATTTCATCAAGGAAATTGTATGCTCCAAAACCTTGTTCTTTTCCTTTGAGCAGTCTCAAATCACTCTTTCATTTCTACCTTTGCACTTCTTCAACAACCATGAGCCACCTTCATTATGGCTCTTGCTCTTCTTCCCATTATTCTTAGTAATGGAAACCAATTTGCTTAGCACTATCTCTCCTGTTATGCAAAAAACCATTACTATTGCTAGCAAGTTCTTTGGGCAACTTATTACCTGGGTATATGGAACATTTATTTAAAAGGCATTCTGACAATTCTCTCTATGAAAATATTTTTAAAAGGCTGCACAGAAAAGAACTAGTCAGACATGAATATGCATGATCAGACGTGCTCTTGGTCAATCTTGTTAGTAGAAAACTATATTGCTATAATAAGCACATCTTGAAAGCATCTTACGTTTCAACCTGTTCCAATGAAACATCTCCAAGTCTCCCAAATCTCGACGATCAATGTCATAATGATTCTTGAGACATTGAGTGAGGTTCCAAGATAAATCACCATAATCTACTCTTATTTTTGACATGGACTGCCAGAAGTCATCCACAATGGGTTCACGCAGTTCCACATTGCATGTTTCAAGTACTTCCTTCTTGCATAGAATGATGAGGTCTTGTGCCATGCTGTAATCATGCAGAATGCGATGACTCACACTGGTCCTCTTGTGTCGTTCCATGATGATCTTACATAGCTCCCAGAAATGAATACTCTCGAGATCCGTGTTGAATAAAATCTTCATGCACGCTGAAATGAAAATTTTTCTGAATTCCCCATGTTTTCATGCATTTCCCACTCAAAGGGATCAGACATTGCAAGAAGAAAGAATAGAGAGACAAAGATGAAAGCATCTTCCCAAAGTTGCATGCCAACACCATCCATAGGAGCATGCATAAGACATTTTCATCAATTAGAAAATGTAGCAAATATACCACATCAACCAAAAAAGTAGCAAAATTAGTCAAGCTAAATGCAAGGGAAAAAATGAAGCAAAAAGGGGACCTACCAGATTCTCCCCCCCCCCCCCCCCAAAAAAAAAAATGAGGAAGATTAGCTCTATAAACATCATGTCAAGATAAAAAAAATTGGCCCTTCATAGGTGCAACTCAACCAGACCTATGCAAGGATGCAATACTTTAGGCTAGGCCTAGGGTGGTCAACAAACTCACAGCTCTCTGACATTCTAAAGCAGCAGTGTCCAACCTGTGGCCTACAAGGTTCTAACCTACAATAAATATCCTCAGGTTTCCTTAAAATAGTCTCCTACAATCCTAGAGACTGGATATAGCCTGCAATGGCTGTGGGAGTGAGCTATGTGGCCCCTGAGCCGATAAGGTTGGGCACCACTGTTCTAAAGCCTTGTGACATGTCTACATGAAATATAACCAAATTTAAACAGGGGCTTCTTTCTTTTGAGGAACAGTCTCATGAGAGGCTGATGCTTTAACTAACCATTACAAGGTTAACCAAGAAATTCACAAGTTCTTTTAAGCGAAATGAATTAGAAAAATTGGAGAACATTTGTCGATAAAACATTTTTGCAATTTCAATATTACACTTCCATTTGCATACTCATTAAAGGTCAACCACGTGACACTACCAAGCTTGCACACTACTAAGCTAATCATGGAGCTAAATTACAGAAAGCAAATGTTAACAGCTGGGACCACTAAACCATTGGCATGGACTATGCTGAATCAATTACATTTGAAGACAAGAAGCAAGGAGACAGGTTCAATTGCAAAAGTGGCTGCAGAGGTGAGAAAAAGGTTTCATTTTCCAGTGAGTTCCAAGCATTGATGGGGTGAAGTCTCACTTAAAGAAATGAACAACATTGAGAAGATGCATAATGAGGATTTTGGAATTGTAAATAGAATGCTGGGCATTTCCTTCAACCTTTCAATTTGCATAATTATTTCAAGACAAAGATCATATGCATAGGCTTGGTCAGAGACCATAAGAAAAAGCTAGTGCATAAACTCCTTCATATTTTGTTATCTGCTTCCCATATTTACCTTTCATGTCAACAGAAGCATTCACTTCAAATGAGACATGGACTCCTACACAGTTGCTCAAATTCATGTTTCTTCTATTATCACACAGGTTCTGCCAGAGAGTAAACAAAATATATGTGGTTTTCATCCTCATGGTAAATGTTATCCCTGATTGAATATAGATTAATGCCAAATTTCCTGCTCCTCCTGCTTCCAGATATTACAGGAATAAACACAATAATTTTTTTTTAAATCACATGATTTTACTTAACAAATTCTTCAATTCACTTATACTATTTGCAAATACTTATATCAACTTTTATAAGTTACATCATTACACTTCGGGAATAATGCCAAGTCCAAGTTGGTGCATTCATTTAAGTCAGCAATAGGGATTACAGCTTCTTACCATGTTACTACTCAACTTTCTATATTTTTCCTTTAATTCAAATTTTTTCCTTTTTATGGAGTGGCAATTGTATTTGGCAGAGCACATTTGCAGACATAGCAGATGGTACTTATCTTCCCAACATTAATACCATTCTCCAACATAAGGAAAAAGTACTTTTCAGCAAAAGTTGTAATGGGATTACCCATTATTGGAAGACTAATGGAGGAATAACTATTTGAACAAGTGGAGTCAAACCACAGAAAGGCAGAAACATAAGTTAAAGGGGGAGGTCATCAGATATGAATATACTACACTAAAGGGGGGGAATCACCTCTGTACAAGACAGCATTTTTCAAGTTATTTCTATATTTCTTCAATTCAATTTGTCACAGAAGATAAGCTTGCAAAGTGTAGCCCATTGTTATAAATGAGGAGGCTCTTTGTAGTTTTGAAGCAATTTCAAAGTGAAATATATTTCTCACATCTTGAAAACCATTGGGCCCAGTTTGTCCTTTTTTTTCCTCTCTGTCATTATACAGGGTGTCCCATTTAAGTAGAAACATGGAAAATAATTACAATAATACTACATGTTCTACATGTCCACCAATGTACCGATGCACTTAACACTTTCCCCTGCATTGGCATAATATTACATTGAAATTCACAAAACAATTAGATATCCCTGCTAGGGAAAGGGTTAAGGTGTTCCTTCCATTAATTCTGAACTTTTTCATCTGGTGGTTTCATCTGACATCTGGTGCAATGTGAGAACAGAACATAAAAGCAAATTAATAATTCCCCCTATATTTCCTCTAAAAATGGAACACACTGCATAATTGCATAGATGCAAGCCCAGCTCATAACTACAAGATCAGATGATATTGCATGGAATAATAATAAGAATAATGGCAAGAGTGACAGAGAAGTGAACCCCAAGTGGAATAATGAGGATGATTTCCAGAGACCTGTGGAAACAATAATGCCAGCATTATATGTAGTCAGTCCAGTTTCCAACCCTCTATGGGGCCAAGCAACTTTTTACAAGCCATCATGCCTCTTAGGCAGTGTCTGTTGGTCGAGCTGGTTCAGCCCTGATTGTTGCATATACCAGAGTGATGGCTTTCATCATGTTACTGGTGCCACATATACACTTTTAAAAGTAATTTTAACCTATGAGTTAAGATGCAGGATTTCACAAAAGTCATATAGTTAGGGCAAAGGGTTCACTCTAAACCCAAGCAGTGTGCTGGGAGTAGAGCCCTTAACACTTTCTCGATGGCAGTGAAATTGACTGCCATTAATTAAACAAGGAGAAACCTGCTGGTAGGTCATTCAGCAGGGAATGCATTAATGAGTAATTTCAAATGTTGATTTCAAAGCAGGTGCCCCCAGGCTAAGAAAGAATTTCCCTGCTTCCCAATATAAGACATCCTAAATTATTTTAAATGTATGTCATCTATTTCCTATCCTGAGACATGTAAGAAGTTTTCAAATGGTCATGACATCCTTCAATAGAGCTGTCTAGTTTTGTGCTTATAGATCAAAAAAGATAGCTAACAATCTTTCCAAAAAAAAGGTAAACACACTCCTCTAATTTAAAAGACATGCCTGCGTTCAGTGGGCTGATAGAAGCTTCATCGTGCTAGGAGTGGTGTTATGGGTCACGATTCACAGCTCAACCAATAGACACTGCCTATATAACTCTTTACCATCGTCTAACGACTTTAACAGCAGCAGAGCAGATTGTTTAGATATTCCGTATTTTATGCAGCGAAATGACTATAGTTGTCACAGAAAAATCCATCTTAGGCCTTTATAGACTTAAGTTATATGACAAAACTAACAAACTTATAGAAGTTAGACCTTATGACGAAATGTTGACCTTCACCCAACCTATTAAAATTGACCTAAGACAAACCTGTGTCGGGTAAATCAGAACTTCGCTCTCCTCCAATAGACGCTTGAAGCATTGGATAAAAGACCCTCGGCCAGAGGACAGCAAAACAGCCGACCACAATTGCAAGGACGAAGATCGTTCGACCTGTGCTGAACTCGGTCGCCGCCATCTTCGGTTCTGGTGGTTCGTCGATCTTAAAGGAAGATTTTTAATTCTCTCGCCATAGAGAATTTCAAGAAGTTACTTGCATCGGCTTCTGTCCCGAAGTGTTACGTGGGTGGATCAGAGCCGAATTGGAACCTTGTTCGAGCTATTTTGGTTTTACTTGCCCTAGCGAAGCTCGGACTTGTTAGAACTTAGCCGCGGGTCTTTCTGCATGAACTCAGCCAATGTTAATATTATTGCTTAAACTGGAACTCTTCAATAGGTGAACAATTTGTTCCACACATCCATGGAGTTTGAATAATATATCAGCATCATAGTTGCGTTTGAAAATGCGATATTTAGGCATCTTTGACCCCCAAATATCCCTACGTGGCGAGAGAAAAGACAAGTCTCTCGTTACTGCAAGTTTCCTTCCTCTTTCATGTGCATCGATAAAGCAACTTACTTATTTGACATTTCGTCCGCTACATAGAGAAATATTCACCTCAAAATGGGAATTTCTCCATTTTTTGTCATCTTTGAGTATATTCCGATGTGGAGGAACACTTACGGTAAGTATTGTGTGTAGTGTCATTAGAAAGGTGAGTAAGATATTTTCGCCGATAACTCGTGCCTATTTTGAAAAAAAAAAAGATTCTTCAAAAAGTTGAATATTCCAAAAATTCACTTTTTCTTCAAGTTTTCTTCAAAATTCACTTTTCAACAGTCATGTGACAGTGGCGCATTTAACAGGCAGGGGAGTAGCCACCCCCCTGACGTCCCCGTGGAGATAATAATAATCTCTCCTGATATCTCTCGCGTGGGGTTTGCCGCCCTCATTCTGCAACCCCCCCTGTCTTCAGTCAAAACATTCCAATGTCGTGTGATATATAACTAGAAAGATCTTTTAGAGCTCTACCTGTGTCATGAGCAACTCCCAGTTATACGAATTCAAATACGAATTCGATATCATTAGAACCAAAATGTCTCTGACCCTAGACATCCCTATGCGTCGATGTACTGTAATACTGATGGTCCTCTGGGGGTGACCCCCCTACAGAGAGTTAACAGAAAAGTATCTGGAGATGTTATCTGCGAAGGTTGCGATGTTCGTAGAGGTTCGTAAGAGACACCTCTATGATCGGCAGCAGGAAGTCCGTCCAATAGTTATCGTTGACTCCAAGATGAAGACTCCTTTGAATTACTCAGGACTCCGGGTTTATATAAAAAGGTGCGTAATTGAACACTACGCACAATTTATTATACAAGAAGACAACAGGGATAAGTGAATGGGGTTAGTGGCAAATAACAGCCTCACGCTGATGGGGGAGCCTCAGGGTCGTCCTCGTGCGTCCCAGTTGTCCGGTGGAGGACCACCGTCACCACGAGTAGTCTCACGAGTATCCCAGGGAAGATCATGGAGAGCATACTAAGGGACCATCTCTTGGATTATCGTGCGTCCCAGTTGTCCGGTGGAGGACCACCGTCACCACAGTTCCTCTAATAGTCCGCACGGTCCTGTGCGGCAGCTGCGTGAAGACTCGGCACGGCTTCACGCGTGCCGTGAGTGCGTCCACTCGCTTTGGCTCTCGGCGACCCACTGCCGAGGGTCTGCTCAGGGAAAGTGGGATGTCCTGGCGTACGTATGCATATGAGGGAGGAGGTTCTTCCCTCCGTAATCATTGCGCCATTCCCTGCGGGGCTCGAGGAGGACTCCACAAAATATGTTGTCCCCTCGAGATGAAGAACGTCTGGAGCTGATAGTGTTTTTCACCTCAGTTAGACAATTTTTCACTTGACCAAGACACCAATGCGAGGAGTATTCAGAGAGGAGGCGAGGGCGCAGGTGCCCCTGATGACTATCGATATCTTTCTCTTCTTCGAATATTTAGGCTTTTTCATATGCTTCAAACTACACTGTTTTCGGATTGAATTGGAACCCCCCCCCCCCTATGAGCGCTTCCATCAAGTATAGGCAGGACACCTTGTGGGAGGAAGGTGAAGTATTAATAGAACCATCCAACAACCATGTGGACACTGCCGAGGGTCTGCTCAGGGAAAGTGGGATGTCCTGGCGTACGTATGCATATGAGGGAGGAGGTTCTTCCCTCCGTAATCATTACGCCATTCCCTGCGGGGCTCGAGGAGGACTCCACAATCAACACCTGTGCAGCGAGGGTTGCCGCGTCCTCACTTCCGTGGACACGACTGGTGGACTCTCCACATTTATATTTTCCGAGACACGTTTGACTTTCCGAACTTTTAATTGGAAACTTGACCACTACTTGACGTACTTTTGATGGGAAACTGAATGTTGACCTCAAGATAAAACGCATTGCTTGCAACTCTGCGTCCCGCAGTTGTGAAAAAAAAATACCTGGTGTAATCAGGGATGCATCGTGGGAAGGGGTGGGGGTCCAAGCTCCCCTCATTGTGACTGTTACCTTCCTTCTCGAACTATTCTTTTGTTGACTGCAAATTTGGTGTCAATTTCGTTTTATTTCGTGTCCACTCCCCCCCCCCCCCTCCCCCTCTTCCCTTCCGAGGCATATACCTAGGGGGAATGTAAGGGCTCTGGATCCTCCACACACTGCTATCGCTCAACATCCCCCTACTCTCCCCCCGGCTTGATGCTTTAGCTCCTCGATCCTTCTCCAATTGAATTTGAAAATCCTACACACGTTACCGAAGGACAAAGGGCAAGGTCACACTTTACTCCTTAGTCACGGCATTGTGGTTGGTTGGGGTAGCGGAGGGAATAGGGAGGGCAAGTCAACTGAAAATAAAACGTGGTATAAAAGGAAGAACTGAGTCCACCACGCCGTACAGAAACAAGTTTAGATATATATTTTTGTCAAATTCCAAATCTCACGGCACACCTGTCAGGAATCGTTGCTTTGGCGATCCATGATGAGGGTGGTGATTAGTGGTGGAGTAGTTCCAACGAAAAATTTCACTGTTGCACAAATATATTTTCTTCGTTTTTAATAACTTCAAAATACCAAATAGATCTTCGCGCATGAGTCGTTAGACATATTTATTTTATGATTTTAGGTGGCACTAGGGAGCAGGGGAGAACACTCAAGAATCGAATGCGCGAGTGGCCGGGTGTAAAAATGGCGGTGCAGCTGGAGGGAGGTGGGAAGGAAGAAATCAAGTCACAATTCACCACACGTGAAGGGGCCTATAAAAACTTGACTCTCTCCGAGTATTCCAGGCCCAACCGAGTCACTTATAGTGCTCAGCCTAGCACACCAGTGAGAGTGTCCTTCGTTACCGTCCCCAGTGCCAGTTCCAATGACAGGGACCGAGAAGGCTCTGACGAGAAAATATGCTTCAATGCAGGAAGAGAACTTTTTGTGTATCCCTACAAAGGCATCCGGAAGGTGAATCTTGAAACTTTGTCATAAGAGAGCCATGTATAAGTCTAGTTACAGTAGGCGAAGCCAAGGCCAACTCCTGCCCTTGCCAGAATCAAATTTATTTACCGTTAGGTTCAACTTAGCTATTTGGCGTTTGTCAGGTGTGATGAGCTTCATTATAATAATAGGGGGGAAGATCGCAAGTCAGTATGTGGAGATCCTTTGGTCCTAATCCCCAATTTCGTTTATCTTAAAGCGAGCCTAGTAGAAGGTAGTCAAAAGCAAACTGCTTTTTTAGGATCACAGGAAAGTGTCAGATTTTACCCAATGTTACCCAAGTCAAGGTGAATATCAGCATTTTTGTTTGCCCTTTTGTCATAAAAAAAAAAAAATTCATGTTAGCAAAATAGCCAATTTTTTCTAGTAACCAGAGTTTGGGTGAAATAGGCTTATTCCGCTTACAGTTTCCCATCGGACACAGTTAACAGTACGCAGTGCGTGGGGTTGCCCAGGTGGCTGTACTCTCTAGGGATATTGTGTTTCTCCTTAAGTTAGACCAGGTTAGGTTAGGGGGGTGGGTGTGGTGTGTATTATATATAATAGGAATCCCAATAAATTGAGATTCCAGGTGACTTTACTCGTGCTCAGTTAACCGGATGCATTTGGTTAACTGTAAGCAGAACAGGCTCAAGAGACCCCAAGAGTGGAGATAGCACTCTTGTCAGATGCTCTCCTTGGTAGAAAGAGATAGTAGGCCTATGTGTAAATTGTTAAAGAAAAGAAAATGAAGTCACAGACAGCAATTTTTTTCTAGACTTAAAGACAGAAAAAATTGTCATAAAAATGAATTTATTTTGACAGGGCATAATGCTTTTTCATTCCTTGACTTTGGCAAACTATCCTCAGCAAATAAACACTAATAAGATGTTAACAGCTCATGTGACAGTAAACAGGAAAAATATTTATTTATAGATCCATAAATTAAGTAGGAAGTTTTCCTTGATCATATCTAGGTAAGAGTTTTTGATTAACAGTGTAGGTTAGATATGCAGGATCTTTCAAAAGCCATGTAACCTATCATGTACAATATTTTCTTGAGTTAACTTAAATTGATTATCTAATCAAGACTGGCTTATGTTAATATTGAAGGAACACCTCGCACCTAGGAAAAAAAGTCATAGCAAGTGTTAGAAGTGACAATCGCAATCCTGGAAGTACGTTATGACACCTTTTGCCTCGAGTAATGGCAGCAATAGCTTGTGCAATGTTTTGCTTTGATGTTCCCAAGTCTCTGGGATTGTTAATGTACACTCTTTCCTTAACCCTTAAGTGTTGGTTGCTGCATATGCATGTCAGCCTGTGTTAGCGTGGTTGATTTATATATTTACGTGAGTTTGATTAAACCCATTGCGTATTAGGGATTTCCCTGAAATTTTATCTGGAGGTTTCTGGCACCTCTTGCATTTTCCCACCCAAAGGATACCTTTCTCAGAGGTGATTTTGGTGATAAGATACACAGACCCTGTGGCAAGGCTTAATTTGCCTATCCTATATGGCTTCACAAAAAATTACAAACATTAAGGCCTAACTTTACTCAATATTATGGAATTCCATCATCTTCTAGACTACAAATAGGGAGTGATCATGTTATCAGTAGGTCTCCTCTTTTTCTGTATGGAACGTTCCTCAGAATGTCAAGAGTTGGCTGGGTGACTCTCCACTCAAGTAAGGTTGACTGCCCACTCTGGGTTACTCAGCAGAACAGGTCTTGGGCCAAAATTAGGTACAGTCACAGATCAATCAGCACTCACTAAATGTGATATATGGCTTGGTTTTCATTCATGAAGAATTTTGCTGAACTAATTTTTCTCCACAAGAGAACTTGCAGAATGAGGACCAGGATTGTACAAGTCTTTAGCATGTGTGCCCAGGCTTAATGAGGATGTTTCATGGCAAGAAATGATTGTTGCATGAGGTCTCCTTTGTGCCTGAAAACCACGCCTTCTTACATAGCAGGAGCAGAAGACAGTTGGCCAATGTTAGGATGGGGACAGGCAATATCTGAATCTGAATTGCAATTTAAATTAACAAATATAGGGTGGTTTAAAAAAAAAATGCTTTACCATTTTCTATGGGATAAATGCAGCAAAAAAAAATTACATTGGATATATGATTGATATTTGACAGTTAAAAGGTGTTGAAATGCTTACCAGCATTTTTTCAGCACCCTTGCCTAAGTTGTGCAATGCCCATTTAGAGGTGAATTAAAGGTTCTTTGAGATGGATCATCCCGCCTCAAGTGAGGTGATTATCTGTATTCAACCGTCTCATATTTGCATGAACTTTTCAACTTTAACTATTCAAGGGACAGATGGATCCAGCTGATACTTGACAGAGAGGTTCATGAGCCTAAGAGGTTTTTTTCACTTCCACAAGATGGCGCTGTATCCCAATAGAGGATGTTTTAGTTGACTGGGTGACCAAGCAGAGTGTTATTCACTTTGCAGCTCAAGGGTTAGGGATCTATTCAATTCTCAAGACTGCTGAGCAACTAGTAGGACTGCTGTGGTGTGTCCTTGTTCATTAACATGCGAAACCCTGTGTGAGATAGTGAAATATAGTTTGTGAACAGAGACAACTTCAGTTATGAATTACCAGTACCATTTAGTTAATTACCCCTTGAGCCTATATAAGCCCCCCCTTTTCTACTTCTCCTTTTGAATGTGTTGATAGAACAGGAACATAAACCTGAATTGACAAAATGTTGCTAAGCCTTGTCAGTGCTTGGCTCTAGCAGTGGTACTGGGAAAAAAATTGTGGGAAAAAAAAAAACAAATATGCATTCCGAGTCCTGCACCAACTTTCCATAAGGAAACTGCTTCCCCACCTTGCCATAGTTTAGAAGCTTGATTGAAGCCATTTACTCATTTGCCTCTTCATTCTTTTGCTCCCCAAGGCCATTAGGTTATGAATCAAGGATGCTGACTATATTTGGGATAGGGAAAGGATGCTATGGGAAGGGGTCAAGCCAGTCCTAAAATGCCTCTGCACTGAAGCCAATTGATTGATTAATTTTGCAATAGGGTGTGAACAATTCTGAATCTTCTGAATAATTGAATGGGGGGCATGAGGATTTCTAAATACTCTCTGAAATTTTTTATTGGTCATAATTTGTTGCTTCAGTTGGGTAGAAAATTGCTCTATTTTGATTAATTTAAAAAAAATTAAGAAAGTAAATATATAAAAAGTAAGTGATCAATGGAAAAAAGGGGTCCTTTTTCTTGGGGATGGATTTTTACTTGGAACATATCTGTGGAATGTCAGAGGTTGGAGATTGGGGAAAGAAAGCCCTGATGAATGGTAGATTTGTAATATTGAAATCAGCTCATTAGCTAAGTTCCTTTAGAATGCAAATGATGAGTAGCCATATTTCTGTCCATTTTAATGGAATTTGATATGTGGATGTTTCTTGTTTGTTAATTCCCACAAAAAATTAACAGACAAAAATAAACATATGTTTTTAACCGTAGAATATAAAGAAAAAAGTATCCCTTATCCATAATGTTGGCAGAGGTGTTCTATATGGCAATCTATATGGCAATTTTCATGAATCTTTTGTTTTCTTTTAGGCTGCTGACCTCACAAAACCTATAGACAAAAGGGCCTATAAAGGGACAAATCCTACATGCCATGATTTCAACTCAGTCACTGTGACCCCTGATAGTGTGATGCTCCTGGTTGGATTCTCTGGTGGTCAGATTCAGCTCATTGATCCCATCAAGAAGGATGTCAGCAAACTCTACAATGAGGACGTGAGTATTCATGTGTGAGAGATGCAGTGGTATTTGTGTTTCTGCGTAATGATGGTAGTGATAATAGTACTATAGGACACAAGTAAATATGACCACCTGTTGCACTGCTAGCAAGAGTACTTCAGTATTCTTTTTCTGTTGGAGGCTAGTCAAAACATGGATATAATGCTTAGGTGAGTGTAGGGTTGTACCTCAAGCAAGACCAAAAGCTGAAGATAAAGATGGTCATGTACCCCTTTTGACTAAATGTTCATATATAGACTGCTGGTAATTTGTATGCTATAATTGTTTGGAATATTAAGAAAATTGCATGGCTGGTGGGGAAAGTTATGTACTTTTCTTCCAAATGAGTGCTAGAGAATGTCTCTTCTTTTTTCAGAGATCCGTAGACAAAACTAAGGTGACTTGCTTGCGTTGGCTGCATGGATCACCCAATCAATTTCTGGTGTCTCATGGGAGTGGCCAGTTGTACCTCTACCATGAGGAACTTCCTTGTGGTAATGCAGCCCCTCAGTATCAACTCTTCAAGCAAGGCGATGGTTACTCTGTTTATATTTGCAAGACAAAAAGCACAAGAAACCCTTTATATCGATGGGTGATTGGAGAGGGGAGCATAAATGAATTTGCCTTCTCCCCATGTTCCAAGTATTTGGCTGTGGTATCTCAAGATGGATTCCTCCGTGTGTTCAACTTCGACACCATGGAACTCATTGGTGTAGCTCGAAGTTTCTTTGGAGGACTGTTGTGTGTATGCTGGTCACCAGATGGGAAGTATGTGGTTACTGGTGGTGAAGACGACCTGGTGACTGTGTGGGGTTTCCATGAAAAGCGTGTGATATGTAGAGGTCAAGGTCATAAGAGCTGGGTAAATGTAGTTGCCTTTGACTCCCATACAACTACATATGAAACTAATGACCTGTCTGATGGTGATGAAACAGGTGAAAATGGTGTTGCAAAAAGTTGTGAGAGGAAAGTGGCATGCTATCGTTTCAGTTCAGTGGGTCAAGACACATACCTCTGCCTCTGGGACCTGACTGATGACATCTTGAAGCGGCCTTTTGGGAAGTGTCGAACTACCAGCTCAAGTCTCATTTGCAATAGCAGCAACACATCACTCAACAAGCCTTCTGTCAAGGAATCAAATTCCGTTCATCCGAGTGGAGAAACAAAGGAGAGTGTAAATCTAGTCGATGGACCCACGGGAAGTTCTTTAACTCAGAAACTCTCCAGCTTTGCATTGGGAGGCAGTGGTGACCATGCAAAGAAGAAAGTGTCCTCTAATCACACCAGTGGTAGTGAAAAGAATGCTGTCATCAAGAACAGGAGCACTTGGTATGATCAGGACCCAATGCGAGTGATTGGGACACCAGCCTGTCCCCGCCTGGATGAATGTCCCCTGCTTGACGCATTAGTTTGCAAAAAGATCTCATATGAGCGCCTCACGGCCATTGTCTTCAAAGAGGATTGCCTTGTAACTGCGTGTCAAGATGGGATTGTCTCCACGTGGGCGCGTCCAGGGCGAGGAATATGCAGCATGGAGATGTTGTGATGTTGCTTTGCCTTGTTTTTTTTTTCCTCCCTTGTGCTGGACTGTGATTCCTAATCAGTTTTAATAGAGAGAAAAAAGAGAAATATTATTACGACTTGTTATGAGATCCTGTTATTCACCCTTCCCTTGCAGTGCCAATCTCTTCCCTTCTTGACATACTCCAAGTAGGCCTACTGGTTTTTCCCTAAGTTTTCCTTTTCCAACTTTTTCCAATTGGGACAAAAACAATTCAGGTCATGAGACCATTTCCATTCACTTGGATTCCTCCATTTCAATGTGCTTGATGCTTTCTGTTGTGTTCCCTGCTCGCACTACTGAGATGGAACCTGTGCACGAAATGGTATAATAGAAACTTGCTGCTCAGACATCTGAAAGTAAGGTATTTCATGATTGTTCTCCTATCTGGAAGTATGTTATTTCATATGTTCTCCCATTTGAATGTATGTTATTCCATAATATGTTCTCCCACTTGAGTCACAATCATGCCGACATTCCATTGAAAGTTTTTAGTAGAAGCCTATTATCCAGAAACTGATGCTCAGTTTCTCTCTCCACTGCTCAAACTTCTACGAAGTCTGTTGAAGATCTAGAGTTTTTTCAGGTTTTTAAATGAAATCATAATGGAATCATTTTAGAAGGCTTGATGTGTATGTTTTAATTTGTTTCAGATTTTGATAGGCAAGAGGCAAGTTTAGATATAATGAAGTAGTTGTGGTTTCAGGCAGTTTTCAAACAACTACTTTGAACAATTGCAGTGAAATAAGTTTGTAAATCAGAAATGCTGTTAATTTTGGATTTTGTGCCTATTGAATGGTTCTCTCTCTTTTCTTGTTGAAAATTTTTGAGGAGCTAAGAAATTTATTTACCTTTCTCTCACTCTACCTCAATTTAACGAGATAGGGCCTGCAATAGCGATCAAGGAAGAATAATACTACATGAAATGGTGCTTTCCTTTTTGTTTCTCTCCCATGTCCAAGAGCAAACATGCTTTGACAATCACCTGGCATGTTATCATTGGCATCCTCATCATCATCATGAACAAGCAATTCCTTTCAGTTTCAATATTGTAATACTCATCTTGCAAGCTTCATTGTACCTGTGTTGAGTGGACTTGCATGTCATGTCATCTTGAACTGTGGATTTCATGCCACTATAAAGTAATTGATCATATTTGGTGCAGATTGGATAGTTCCTATCCATTCCTTTATCTGGTGCTTGGAGGTAAGATATTAAAATCTTAATGGTTTATGAAAATGGCAGGAAAGTGTCATTTCCATTCATAATTTGAGCACAATACTTGTTGAAGTTGTGGCCTCGAGAAATTTTGCCCCTGTGAATGCATGTTATTTTTTTAATGCACAGGCTTTGAAGCTTGTGAGATGAGGTGCACTCTGATTTGTTAGAGATCTCCCCTCTGTGTCATTCATCTATTGCTATATTGAACTTTTCTGCTGCAATTCTGTGCAAAGCACTGGGTGATAGACAGGAAAGAAAAGCTCTCATTTGTCAGAAGGAGAAATTGGAAGAGAACATATGTTCATTCTCTGTTGCATGAGCTCATTCAGTCAATAAATACTATGCTATTGAAGGGAAACAAGAGTTTTTCATTTAGCATTATGTCCTAAATTTCTGATATTCACCCATTCCCCATTGAATATATGGGGTATATGCAATTTTTGGTTGCTTTCTTGGGTTGCATGTTTGATGTGCTGCTATTACTGCTTCTCTTAATGATTTGAATTTTCATTGTTGGTATCAGTTGTCTTCCTTTGCTTATAATAGTGTATTTTGATCCTCTTTTTTTTCCCCCTCTTTTTGTTGCCTTTGAGTGTAAAGCCTGAAAAATTGCATCAGCTGAAGTGGCATGTCCCTTATACACTTGAAGGAGGTGCCATTAACCAAAGAACCTTCCTTGACCAACTTGATTCTTCAAATGCATATCTGAATTAAATCAGGTAGTGCACATCACCTTTATGAAACTTGCCCGTCAATCATCATCAGCTCTTGTGCTGGCATAGCTGTAACTCATTAAAGATAAATCAAGTTTTAAAAGGTCATTTGGCATGTCTTCACTTTAACTGGTTCTTTGCCAAAGATGAGTGTTTTGTCTGAATTTTGTATGTGTTGCAGTCTTTGAGGTCTCAAAAAACAAGCTGATGATTGGATCAAATGAATTTATGGCAGAACAATTCACGATATATGTACTTGTGATGCTATTCAGGTGATAAGCATCAACTCTATGTACAGTATGTCCAGCCCCAGAAAGGACCAGTTGCGTGGACCCCCATAATGAGGTGCAATTTCTTATAACTTGTCAAAACCCAACAGGAGACCGAACAGAGTTGCAAAAAGGGCCATAGAGGTGGAAGCTTAGTGTAGTGTGTGTGTGGGGGGGAGGGGGGTAGTTGAATGCTGAGTGATCTGTATCTCGGGTCTGGGTGGCCAACCTCCCTCCTGTTTGGAGCGGCAAGCCACTGAACCCGCCCTTAGACTGTAGGCATGAATGACATTTGGAGGAGAGGGAGGGAAGGGGTTGAGGGCTTGATTATGACAAGCGAGGAGGAGGAGTGTTTTTGCGGTTGATGGTGTCTCATAAAATAATCATGACACTGAACACCCAATCCTATCCACTTCCACGAGCATAGGTGAGGTCCATATTTGGATCTTGGCAGGGATCCTTCTATCTGAAGACTTCACCCAATGTCTGTGTAGGGCATAATATCAAAGCCCAGAATTCCCATTCAGTTTTCAGATATTTGGAAGTCCACTTATTCCTCTTTGAAATGACAAATTATTTTTTTATTTTGTATATAAACTTAAACAAGAGAAACATGTACAAGTAGATCTGTTTCTGTATTGAAATCAGTGGCGTAGCTATCGAATGTGCAGGTGGTGCAACTGCACTAGGGCCCAGATGCCAATGATGATGGTGTATTAGCCGGGAGACCTTTTGCATCAGGACAAGGTAAGAGCCAGCAGCTGAAAAGGAAGGTCAAAAGGAATCAAAGGAATTCATTGCAACTCTGCACAGAGACCCCTTGCAACTGGGACACTGCTTCATGTGGTTAAATGAAGTGGTGACCACTTCCAACACCATTCACCCAGGGTCAGGTTAAGGGGGGGGGGAGGGGGGCAAAGGGGGCTGTTGCCCTGGGCCCCACTTTTCTAGGGGATCCTCAAAGGAAATTAAACACATTAAGTATTTGTGCAAAGTAGCAGTGGAGGTGACTGCCCCTCCTCTGGCCAAGTTTGCAGTCCATTTTGAAATTTAGAAAGCACATAAATTAATGTTTATTAGCCCCTGTGAAATGGATATTCAGGGTTTTTACCCCAGACGAAAAGTGAATAAGGCGATAGATAGGACAGAGTGTGGTGGTAGATGGGAACTAGGAAACAGGCCCTATGGAAAATTTCTGTATCTGCCACTGACTCCTGCTACCAACGATGATTTATATGCTGCTGGAGAAAATTAGCAAAAAATTTTGACTTTCACATAATTCAATAGTAAGAAATTTGACTGTGGGCTCTGTATCATTCCTTGCACCAGGGCCCATGCCAACCACTGAGTGAAATGTGCAATATCTTCCCCAAAATAAAAATAATTGGGATTAGTGAGAAAAAATTATACAGTTAACTCTTCAGGTACTAGGTTTAGTAGAGGCAAGCAACATCCTCAGACTTTTTTTTTTTAGCATTTCACTTACCAAAATATGTAACTGTTGAATCTTGCAATATGATGTATCTAACACGTAATCTGCTACAATAATACTTGTGTACTAAATTTAAAATCGCATATCTAGGAATAGATTGGAGGAACAAAACTATAGCCGCTTCAGATGTGACTGTAATACTTAAAAGGTTAAGGGGTTAATTCCACTGATCATACTATCATGTTAACTCTTTCACTGTTGACTCTTAAGAAGGCAGACGCCTCACCAGTGCTAAGTTTTCAGTGCACTCCATGGTTAGCAGATTCAGAAATCTATTATATGAATTTCCTTCCAGATATCATTTAGTCTTACTATAGTAATTTATTTTATCTACCATTAGATGTCTCCTAAACTACTAGAGATGTCCACTGAACATGTCATACCAGTATGCTGTACAGCCACAGCCAAAGAGTTAATTAATGTTTTGTGATGAAATAAGATAAAAATCTGCCTTAATCATTGTGATTTATTATCTGGTACTTATACTGTAGGCACACTTTGGAAATATACTGTCATTTGCCCAAATTGATTTTCTCAAAGTGAGGAACAGTGATGAATGTACCATGATTGATTAATTTTATTTTTTCAATCATACACAGGATGCCCTTGACTGCAGTTTTATAAGTTAACATATATCAGTGAAATTCCAAAAATGCCTGACCCACAAAGACAAGGAAGTAGGAATGCTGTTGACATCTATAAATGGGCCACAGAGATGAGCTACCCAACAGGTGGAAGATATTCTGCTGTCCCACCAGCCAGGAAGGCTGATTTGGATCGGTAAGTTATCCTTGGATTCAGTTGTTACATCTGGAGACATTATATTTGAGGCATGGTCTCAATTCCTCTGCCAGGCTAATCCGAGGTCCAGAGCTGGAACAATTTTGGAGGAGGGTTATCTCTTCAGTCAGGCCCAAAACTGAAGCAGAGCTCATAAACAAGAATGTTCGTTTGAAGAGGCATCAGAAAAAACTTTCAGTCAGTTTATTGTTTCCCAATTTTTAATCAAGTTGCATGGAAAACCTTGAAACTTATTCATAATTAATAAGTGAGAATCCCCATGTGTCTAGAACTTTATGCATTGCCTTGTGTGATCTTGTTCCTCATCAAACCAGGGGGCAAAACTTCGCCTCCAGGAGGAAATAGCCAACCTTCAGAACCAAAAGGCAGAAAAGCAAGAGCAGGTGGAGTACTTGTTGGGAAATTCTAGGGACATCAGAGAGAAAATAGAACATCTAGGTATGAGTCTCAGCCTTAGCCTCCATCCACTCCTTGGCAGCTCATTTGCCTTCTGTCTATGCAGGTCACTATTGATATTTCACAGAGGTTGAGTGCAGTAGAATCCAGGAGTCTGAGAGAAACATCATGAAAAATATAATTGTGCTCGAGCAAAGCAAGGAAAGGAAGTCCAAGTACTTGGAGAAGCTCCGGAGCCTCACCAAACAAATTGGGAGGCACACAACAGCTATGAAAGTGCCTACTGAATCTCTAGGAGTATCAGATTCCCAGGTAAACCCAAATCAGGACTCCTCCTGAAGCATCTACTTTATAGATGAGTGATTGAACTAATTGTGTCCTTTTGATCAATCAATAGGCAAGAGTGAGTGATGAGATAGACAAAATCTGCCGGTTCTTAGATACTGGCAGCCCAGATGAAGAGCAGCGGAAAGCATTGGAAGATGAAGTCCAGCAGATGGCATTCCAGATTCCTTCTCAAGATATTCTTAGGGCTCTCATGCAACATGTTCAGCATTCACAGGCCAAGTTGCAGCAGCTCCTAAACCTGTCCCAGGCTGGTGGAGACTCAGCCAATGCTTCTCTGAATAGGTGAGATGACTATGTTTTAGCATAAATTCTGTGAGCAAAAGCAGCAGCCTTGTTTCTCATCACTCTGATCTTTTCATTCCTTGATTCATAAATCCATGCATGAACATGCTTGATATGGATTCGCATCCATGTTCATCCATTTGTATATTTGAGTCTGTGCAGGCATGAACAAGATTTATCCAGAAGTGAAGTTAAGAGAGAGGAAGCCCTTGATCATCTACTTCATACATGTTCTTTGGATCTACAGAAGAATCTTGCTGTTGTCCTCCAGGAAAGAAGGCAACTCAAATCTATTTCTGAAGAAGTTTTGGAGGTCCAAGAGAAGCTGTTGCAGGTATTATGATACATATTGAAGCCTATGTCTGGAACTATTTAAGTTGAAAAAATAGATTTAAGAAATGTTTTCACAAATGCAATTCATTTACTTTAGCATATTGGAATGTTTGGTATTGATGGATTGAAAAATAATTTCAGCATGATGGAGGGAATGTTTATAGAGAATATGTGCAAGTCTGCCTGGAAGTAGCTTTTGCTGGAGGGATGCATAAGGCATTGGGAAAGGACATGGAGAATCTGGCCAGGGAGGTTGAGGCTCAAGCAGAGAAGAGGAGAGAAGTCAAGGAAATCTTCAATAAGATCCTTCAAATGCAGAGCTCTCTGGTACATGCATCAGTTTCCCAGCTACTACATATACTGACTTTTCTTCATGAGAGTTAGCAAGAGAGACCATGAGAATAAAAAAATCCATTAAATCATTTCCTTGCAGTTGAGTGTCAAGAAGGAGATTGGGAAGTTTCGGGACATGCGTGAAGATGCAGCAAAGAAAATTCCTTTGCATCAAGCTGCTTGTCAAGACATGTTGATGCAGGTTTCTCATGTGGAGCTGGGAGTCCAAGCAAACATGCCTCACTTGTGCCAGCAGGCCCTTTTTATGCAGCCTGTATATCTACACAGACCCAACTGGTGAGATAACTAAAATTCCTCAAGCTCATGCACTTCTAAGCAGAGTCCTTGCAGTTTTCTTTATCAACCCATGACAAATTAGTTGATTAGCCTCATGCATGAATACACATCAGGTCTTACATTTTCAAGACTCTTTTCAAATTCTGGAACTGAGTGTACTCTTAAAACTCTCTTGGGCACAAGTACTTTGCAACTCCAAATGATTGATTGATTATGAAAAAAGAGTGATAAGGAAAGGATGCACTTTGAGAATTAATCACAAAGTTCAAGTCAACACTCTCGGGCACCACTTTATTCTCCAATGAAGTAGAGTGGTCAGGAATTGGTATGAACCCTCTCAGTGCCATGGCTCAATATTCTGGCCTTGGCCCTGGTTGTGTGAAAATTGTTGCAAGCTGTCATTTCGACTGTGATATTTTCTTGCTGCTGGTTTATGATAGGACTGAGGGCAATTTGGGGTATAGTTAGTCAAATACTACATGAAGGAATCTCCATATCTTGTTTTGATTGAAAAACACTTGAAGAGTGACCATCTGTATTCTAACAAATTTCTAAGTGCAATATAATCATCCCATCTATTATAATAGATGATAATAATAATAATAAGACAATGTTTTCTGTACTGAAGTCTATAGCCTATTGGTTTAGGCAAACCTAGTAAAAACAACCAGATAATTTATTCACTGCAATGGAGATTGTAAGTTTCTGCTGTTGATGATGTCTGCCCAGATATTTTGTAAATTACCTTCTTTGTTAGCATAAAAATCAAGATATATTGACATAGTATTTTGTACACAGGGCTCGAGGAGAAAGCTTGTCATACATTTGGGACAGTGAGCTAGTGAAGGTTTTCCATGCTCTTGGTCTTTCGGCCTTTCAAAGCAGAGACTTGCTCATGAAGGAATTCAGGGCATTACTGAAGCAAAGACAAGAGGCTGATATGCTACATGATGCAATTGTGAAAGAAGAGTCCAATTTAATGACAACTGAGGAGTTTCCTGTTGTTAGTGTCATTGCTGGTTTCTCTCCAAATGACTCTCAAGATGAGTTTTCTTCTATATTGGAAATGGGCAAGAACCTCATGGATGAAGATTTTGTTAGAGTTGAAGATCTCATTCAAAAATGGTTAGTGAAATACCTTGGTCCATTTAGTATCATTGGTCATGAACTGGAGACAACTAATTTACTTGAGTTCTATTTCAGGTATGACCCTCCTATGTCCAAGATGTCATTGAACTCATTAAAAGTGAATGAGTGGACTTTGGAGGAGTGGAACAAGAAATTCCTGCTCACATTGTCTAGGCTGAAGGAGCTGCAAAGCAAACAATAATACTGTGCTTTCAAGACTTTCCTTTGTCAATTTTTCATAGGGTTATTCACTAGTATCATAATAAAATATGTTCTTCCAGAATGTTGTTCAGGTTCCATGCTTATTTCCACCATAGTATTTCCTGTTCATGACAAATGAATGAATGTGCTACACATAAGAAAATGAATGGTCTGAATATAGAACAAAAGAAAGCACCTTTGACACCAAGATAATTCAGTCAAAATTTATTGTCCTGAGGAAAGGTGGACGGAGGAAGTTAGGCAGGCAGAGGAAGAGGCTGAAATTACATGGAAAAGTGATGGGAAGAAGAAATGTGGTGATGTGTCTTGAGAGAGACCAATAATAATTTGGTTAAAAACAATCATAAAAATAACATTGACACAAAAGTAAAAAATAATTAACCTCAGGTAATGAATAAAATATATAATTTTTTGTGACATGCTCACTGATTTTCAAGATGAGATAACAAAGCATTTTTCCTACTGTGATCCCTTTTCTTAAGAATTGTTGGAGTCTTTGGATTGGATTTTCATATTCAACCAAGTCCTAAGCAGAAAATGAGCTCAGGACTTTTGGGATGAGACATAACTATAAATGTTGCACCAAGGAACCCTATGAATATCAGATTAAATAAATAATTCACAAAACAAAAACAGACTAAATGTTCTGAAAGCTTAAAAAAAGAATGAAAAGGTCTGTGATGGACCTAAGCAGAATGATGGCAACACTGGCATTGTGAAATGTGCTGCACACTTAACTGTAATTTTGGAAATGTGAACTTTATAAAATAATGAAGTGACAGCCACCTTCTCAGTAATCCATTAAAACTGCAATCTTTGGATTTAAGAGCAAATAGGGCTAAATCACAAAATTGATATGATGGGAATATGACTAAAAAAGATTGAATATATAGATACTAGTATATATATATATATGTGTTGTCTGATCATAATGACACAACAGCTCTTCTACCATGGACTCACCAAGTTGTGATTTGAGTAAATATTGATGGAACTGTCTAATATTTCCATAACAGTAATATGCATATTGTCTTACTAAGAATGTTCCACTGGCCAAAATAAAGTTAAGCAGACTTATTCAATGTAACAAAGTTCCCTCACTTGTCACCAGGATTTGCAACATTTTTCACTGCAGGGATGCTGAAAAACTCTTCCAGGATCTGATCCAACTCCTTCTCTGTATAGTCCTTCACATGGTACATATAGCCATCAGCTAATCCTCCCACCAAGGCTGACAGCTCTAGAGCAAGGAAGATTCCACTATTGGTGAAGTATATTTAGTGTAATTCCTGATGATACAATATTCATGATTGTGACAGCAATCAAAGCTAATAAGAGCATTCAGACTTGGCCAATAGTCAGGAATGGTGGAAGTTTATGTTTGTCCTCAGGGTGATCAATCTGTACAAACTTTTATTCACTCCACCATGACAGTTGAAATTGGGGTGCCAGCAGCAATTTTGCTTTAATTGTTAATTTTAATTTTGCTTTAATTGTTGTAGTGCAGGTAGCGAAATCCATGCTCTCAATGTCAATTTTTCTGGTTCAAAGATCTCTACCAAAGGAAGGGAGGGAAAAGGCAGGATCTTCTACTTTCTTGTAGACTGATCCATTCATGATGGAGGCTTGAGAATTTCTGTTTGAAATAGAAATGTGGGAAAAATTTGAACTGGGCAGTTCAAATTTGACTCACATGGATGTTAATCTTTTTTATAAAACTGGAGTGTTGATGTGAATGCATGTGTAAAGTGGGGTGCATCATGTGGCTCTAGCCCAAATTAAGATTTTGTTATGTGGTATGTTAGGTCAGGAAGTTTGGCCACCCTTATAATATACTAATTAGTTACAGGAGCCAAGTTGATCTTTCAAACACTCCAAGGACTGAGTGAAGTTTTCTCTTAAAAATTGTACTATTTTATTTGATGTCACCATGAAACCCTATCCTCACCTTCAAGTAAATCTGAAATGAGTACCATTTTCTGCCATGACAAGTATAGGATTCACCTGACCTCTGCTTTTCTGACCTTGCATGTTAACCCTTCAGCATGAAGGGATTTAAATTCCTTTCCATGTCCTGCTGTGGGAGGAGTTTCTGCCTGGGAATTTAAATATAGCTTGAAAATAATTTTTTGCCTCATTTTGAGGTCCACAATATTAAAAAGCCTGCAACCTTCTCTACAAGGCTTTCACAGTCAAATTCAAAAAGTTACACCAGCATTCATTAGACAGAAGCACAAAACAGAGAGTGCCATATGCCTGCCCTGCACGTCACTCTGCGACAGGAGATGCTTATGCCATGACGTATGGTGCATGGCACTCCACAGTGAAGGGTTAAGTCAGGCTTTATGCTTTTTCTAACCCAGGGGTGGCCAACCTTTTGATCCAAATGTGCCACATTGCCCCTTGAGGGACCTCCTGTGGGCCATAATACCTATTTTCTTAACATTACTATTACATTATTATATTAATATTTGGGAAGCACCGTGGGCTGGATGAACTGTCACCGCAGGCCAGATCTGGCCCACGAGCTGTAGGTTGGGTTGGGCTGTTCTAACCTATATGACTGTTGATTTAATTTTAAAAGAAAAAGGCATTATCACCAGATTTTACCATGCAAAATGGTGGCAGATACTTACTTTTCCCATCTTGAGGACGATATAAGCAAAGGATTGGTATTCTTTTTTCTTTCAATGCCCACCCCAGTTCAATCCCAACTCCAACAGATGGCACTGTCACTTCAGCAACCAAAACTGTAAGGGAAGATATGAGCTCAAAATGATCACAATCCAGTTTTAGCATGATTTATCCTTACACTCACCATCAGCCTCTTCCATATGGCCACTACAAATCTTGAAGGTTGTTTTGTCATCCAGATCTGGAGAAGAAATGAACACACAGTTTTATATATATATATCTTATCAGTTCTTGGGGCTTGTATGATATGAGCACAGGATCTACTGTGTCCTTAACTGCCAGTCTCTATGAATTGGTACTCCCATTATTTGTGCTATTAATCCATTGCTTGCCCCACAATATCCTGTGTAAGTGGTGAAAGAAAAGAAACATGTCTAAATGAAAAGTCAATATTTAAGAGTAATGAATTCCCCTGTATTCTCATTTCACCCTATTTGAACCAACCTATCTTCATTTTTGTTCTTGTGCAACACCAAAACTGAGCCAAGAGAGACATCCATTACCCTACCAAAATATGTAACACTAATAGAAGGTCATGATACAACTCTGTCATGTCCCCTCATCAAGGAACATGAGTTCCCCATAGCATAGAGAGCACTTTTTAAAATATAGTATCCTGAAATTGAGGATCATATATTGATATCCTGATAGGGAAAAACCAGTTCCTTGCTTGAAGTTCATGGTGACAAATTCATAAAAACCACAAACAGGACACTACCATTATATTACATGTTGACTCTGATAGGTTCAGGGGGATTCTGTATCATCCTTTCCAAAGGCACTACATGCATGCATGGAGAGCCCCACCTCTTGAAGATGCACATTACCTGAAATTACCTTCTTAACCCTTTGAGGAGTGGGTTTTTTTAACACCTAGATCACCCATAATGAATACCTGGAGGGCAGGAGGATGTCAGCCCATATATGAGGGATTTCTCAAAAGTTCTGCCAGTAGCCCACAAGTCGTCATTGGAGGCGGCCGCAAAGTGCTACTTTGGGGCTACTGGCAGAACTTTTGAGAAATCCCTCATATATGTGGGCATACTTGTAAAAAGTGTTAATAATGTTAAGTAGGTTTGATGTTGCTGAAAAGTTGATGGAGAGATATAGGAGTTGTGCAAAAAGTAGTTCTGACTCGACCATGAATCTTTCATGCTGAGGATTTTAAATTAGTAGGAAGGATTCCATTGATTAGAGCAATTGGTGTGTTTTCAAGTTAAGCAGTTTTAGGACTTTTGGGAAAAAGAGTAGATAGATGTTTCTTAGCTGGTGATAGAATTTTACCTTTTCCACATGTAGCCTTTTCTTCATGGAAATTAAATGTAAATGAGGGAAATTAGTACATGTCATGCTTCACAGGATTGAGGGAAAAGTTATTTATACAGTAACACAGGTAAGAAATTTTGTAGCAAAGGACCATGTATGTTGGACCATGTATGACTTCATGGTCCATCTGTGCCTCATCTGTTTACATGTCCATAATGTATTCCTCATCCCCAAGGTGGTATTTAAGGGGACAGCACCTGTCTGCAAAATCCAAAAATGTAATGCAATAGAATACAACAAATGTCTGAAAGACCTCGAAAAAATAAAACTATTGTGTTCCAAAGAACACAAAAACAAAGACAAAACCACAGGTTACGCACAAAGGAAATTCTGAATTAACCTTAAGTAAACTCATTGACTCATTGGGAATAAGCTCAGGAAAACCTGAAAGAAATTACCAGCCCAAAGAACAAATTTAAATGGAAGGCCTTGATGACCAGGAAGGATTGTTCAAGTGTTTCCTGCACTCTGCTACCAGCAGAAACTCTTGTCCATTCTAAATGTCTAACTTCCTTTTTATCATTGCTGATGGTTTGGTTTTGGTCAAACAAATTTGAATGAAATTTCGAGAATCAGTGGAAAACAGGCAAAGTTGATCAAAATATCTCCGTCGTGAGCGGAGATATTTGGTCTAAAAGTCGTTATTTTTTTGCCATACCCTGTATATTAGGAAAAAAGCTGAGTTGGAAATTGTCAGTCATGAATTGGAATGCTTCTGGAAAACATTTTATCCAGCGGTGGTTAGGCAATTGTTCTCAGGGCTTCAAGCTTGAAGCATGCAAATCGGTCCAGGCATCATTGTCCTTGAAATGGAAAAAGCAAGTCCTTTACTCGTCCCCACCCTTCACCTGTAAGTCTTGTGATGATGCATTTTTCTCATCAGATGGAATCAACAACTAATGCTCCTTGAGGTCATCAAGCAAAAAAAGAGAACCCATTTAAAATAAAGAGGAATGACTTCTCAGAAATATAAAATTACCAAAGTAATTTTATATCTTTGGAAAACCCTCCATGACCTGCATAAAATTCCCGTCACTCTCTGCCTTCAGAATCAATTCCTAATCATCATTTGCATCCAGAATGCTGCAGTGACTCGTGTTCGTTTAAAATATTTAAAATATCCTCTTTTAGTTTTCATTTGAATACCTTGAGAAAGGTTAATGGGTCTTTTGTTTCTTCTTGGCTTTGAAAAGTGGGGGGGGGGGGGCACGTGCCGCTGTCCTCAGTTATATCTGAACATTTTCTTAAGGTTTTTGGAGAGCTGACTTGGACAAATGAGTTGAAGAACTCAATTTTCAAAGCAAGGCTGGAGTCATTCCTGTTCTGTCATTATTGGCAATGACTTCTTTCAATGGACCTCATGGCAGATTTTCCTCCCCTTATAGTTTGAATTAATTAGGGATGTTACCGATAATATATCGGACAGATAAAAAAAAAAGGCCGATACTTCCCGTCATCGATTTTATCGGAAAATCGATGCCGCAAGTCCACCAATAAATTGATTCCCAGGGTTCTTTCTTAACCCTTTCCGTGCTATGGACGGCGATCGCCACATCGAGATTTTTAGACCTAGGATACTTTGTACATAGTTGGAAGTGGAATCCATTTCTTGGTAGGTTGAAAAAAAAAACGCATCCAATTATATTATTATAATAACTAACAATTATCTTAACTAGTTCCAGAGATATAAGCATTTTACCGAGCGTGTACGTAAACAACGCGTACGTACGTGTACGTATTCCCGCGTAGGGAATAGTTCTGGTACCGGTGAACTCGCGCACAGCAATAAGTTCTGACACGGATAGGGTTAAACGTAAGGTTTAGTCTGCAAAAAAAAAAAAAAAACTAGGCAAAACTCGGCATCTTAATCCTTGAACCAACAAGAATAAATGGTAGGAACAGGGGATGCTCTGGAAGAAAAAGCCAAGCTGAGGCTTCCGTTTTCGTACAAGTATTTCGCACTCTCCCACAATTTTGCAGATGGTGAGTGGAAAGAGGTGAGGATATCTCGGTGGTTCTTAACCCCTGGGTCGCGTGGAGTGATTGTGTCCAGTGACTGTCGGAACTTTCCTTTGTAGTCTACCCAAACGTGCCTTTCCTCCTATCGGTCCGATAAATGCTGAAAAACTGCAGTCTGAATTCAAAGCTTGCGGAGCTAGCACTTGGGTCGCAGCCAAAAAAGGTTAAGAACCACTGAGATATCTACAACAAAAAAAAAGATATCTACGGAAAACCACGGGAGAGACGCGCCGCAAGGGATGTGTGCGATAGCCACTCCCTTTCGCCGAGAACGGACCGAACGGAGAAAATCCCGCGCGAGGTGTACGTGCACGTTCGCTCCCGCGGGAAATTTCACTCATTCGACTCGAATGCCAAACTAGGTCGAGCAAAAACGCAATACTCTCGGTCCCCTCCGATCGGCCCAGCCCGAGGCCCAGGGACATCATTACCTCCTTCCCGCCTTCTACGGTCACTACTCACCCTTCGCTGCCGACTGGACGTCTCCATTCCTTGGACGATCCGCAGTCTCGTGTTTGTATCGTGTTCCTTGTTCGTGCGTGCGCACTTTTGTTGCTTCAGCTGTATATTCCGGCCCGAATGCTGAATCCTCTTTAAGCGAAATAATTGGACCTTAACCCTTATCCGGGCAAGGGGAGTCCATTGGACTCCCCAGGGTGTATTTCATTTCATTACTCTCTGCAAATTTGTCAAAATATTCTTCAAATTTGATATGGGTTCCATAGACAGTCATCCATAGATTCAGAAACGAACTTTTAAAGTTTGGATTTGCTTTAAAGGAAAAAAATTCTAAAAATGTTTGGCCTTGCCCGTTTGTGTCACAAAAATACCTTGCCCGGATAAGGGTTAAAGGACTCTTGGCCCATCGAGTTATATTTCTATTTGAACCATGCACCCTCCATCACTTTGGCCAGTATCACCCAGAATCTCCTTGAGCTGGATTAAAATTTTAGAGAAATGAACCGAAGTCTTTTAATGTGATTCCATACGTTGTGCTAGGAGAAAATACATGATACCTCACGTAAAATACTGGGGACTTTTGACAGTTGTATCAAAGTGTGAATCGCCTCTGCGGCGATCGAGGCGCCATCTCGCTTAGGTTATGAGAACCTTCTCTCTTTGAATGATTTCAAGATTGTTCGCTTCTATCGCGAGCTGGGAATCGATCCCATGCAGCTCGGTGATATCCCAGGGATGTCCCCATGGGACTTGTCCTATGGTCTTTATAGGATATCCTGAATACGTCTTCTTTCGGACAGTTTCGGACATCTCGTAAGGGATATCTCAGAGGCGTCTTTTAGACATCTTCAGTCGGTATCTTAGAGATATTCCTTTCGGGATATCTTAAAAGACATCCTTAGTCGAATGCTTCTGGATATCCCGATAGGGATACCTTTAGATATCTTTATCTTTGGGAAAAGTGAAATGTCTCAGAGATAACGAGAAGTACCACCCAGCAAACAAGGCCACGTTGGACCAACGTTATGAACGTGGATTCAATGTAGCTTTCCCTGTTCCGCTCTGCAGAGTCCTCTTATCCTCATGTTCTCCCCTGAGTGCAGAATGATCAACTTATCCCCAAATATGAGGGTATGAGAGTCAGAGTCCGCTTATATGACCGAGTTGTTACAACAATTTCTCTCATATCATGTAAAAATATGCAAGGGTTTCGATAGGAGGATGAGCTTGTTTATCGCCTGGGCTCCATGGTTCTATCTGAAATACGGAGATAATGAATGATTTATTTTCCGATTTTATTAATTGCTGTAATGAGACTAGGAAAAACATATGGTAAGGTACTGAACACTATGATGCTATAGAAAGAAGGAAGTGCACTTTTGTGTACTGTGCGAAAAGCGAGACCCATGCCTCCATCTAGTGGTTAAGAGGAGAACTTCAGCATTTCCACTAAAAAAACTTGTCCGTGCAACTTATGCACGTTAGATTATTGCGTCAGTCTGATATTGGATTGATGATGGAATGGCAATATTGGGAAGCCAATATTTAGCCAATACTTAGCTGGTATTGACAATAATGGCAAGATGTATAGACATAGTGCCCAATGTTGGTCCAGCTTTAACCCAATATCGGTGTGACTGGGGTGGTACCACTGGATAGGTTCTTGGTCGTTTCTTGAAAATTCCCCCCCCCCTCTATTTGGCGATGCATGCTCCATGATACTACCATAAATATTATTTTAAAATGCGATTTAAGAAAGTACTATTAGTGTCATAACACTGCTATAATATTCACGCAACGTTGGACTTTGACCTTCAACTTCGATGACATTGTATTGACTCTAGGGGAACGTTCCCACAACGCTACTATGTTTGCTGGGATTCTCCTCAAGATATCGAAAAGCATTCTACCAAAGATGTCAGACATCCCTTACGAGATATCCAGAAGCATTCGACTGAGGACGTCTTCAAGTTATCCCGAAAGGAATATCTCTAAGCTATCGACTGAAGATTTTTGAAAGACTTCTCTAAGATGTCCGAAACCGTCTGTAAGGAGATGTCTTCAGGATATTCTATAAAGACCATGGGACAAGTCGTCCAGTTAGGGACATCCCTGGGATATCACTGCGCTGTGTGGGCAAATATGATTTCGAAGAGACAGGATAACGTGGAGAGGATCACGCCTCCTAGGGGAGGAGAATCGAAGGTGCAGTTCACATGTTATCCGGTTGTGGCCTGGTTTTAGTTCGCTGGGCTGCACTAAGCTACTCTTCGCTATCATTTTCTCTTGTTTCTTTATTGGATACAACGAATCAAATGTGATGCAGACGAGTCGTAGACACAGTTGCAGCGCTGCAGACTTGTTACTGATGATAGCCCTGGAATTTTTTTAAAACTGATATTATATTATTATTTAAAAAAATTGCTGGCCAATTCGACTCGATGGGGCGAAAAAAGAAACAGAGGGCACCAATAGATGAACCTGCTTCTAGTGAAGAGGGAATGCCTGAAGGTAAGTGGAAATATTAGTCTAAGTCTTCTAACTCCAGTCATAGGCCTATGTACAGGGTGGGCCATAAGTATTCATACCACTTGAAACTTTTCTATTAATGTACGCCCAAAAGCAGCAATGAAAAAAATGTTTTGTCCCTTTATATGAGTGTCTCTTTGGTGGTCAACTTTGACTGTTTTAACATGAATCCTCTTCTGCCTAGAAATGGTTTGAGGTTCAAAATTTTTGTCTGGCTGATTGAGGCAGAGATGATAAAAGAATACGAAGACCCCATACAACTCTGACTGTAATCAAATGGATTATTTTATGTGATGTCTGCTGGAAACAAGTGCCCATTAACGAAATCAAGCAACCTGAACCTGTTAATTTTCAGTATGAAAGAGGAGTGGAACCATGTCCATCCAGTGTGATTGACTGATAGACTCTAGGTTGTCATCAAGAAGAATGGGGACACATTGAACATATTTTGTTTTGGCTTGCCAATGCTCATTTTCCAATGATGAAAACTCTAGTTAAGAATGATGGATTAGGGATATTGTGTTTTCAATCTCATCAGTGTGACCTTGAATGGACTTAATTATAACCAAGGTTCTCGATATACCTGAGCTCACTATAACTGAGGTTAAATGTAACATACCTAATGGGCTCTATGCCAGGACCTGGCTCTTTTCATCGTTATAACTGAGTTCGACTGTACATCTGCTTAAGTTCTGAAATTTTTTTATATTACTCAGATACAGTTAAAATACATTTTTTTGCTTTAGTTAAACATTACAGTACCTGTTAACAGGAGTAGTACTGGTCAGGGTGAGCTTTTGTGCAATGACCCATTGGTGGTCTCAAAAATGGATCACATGTTGAAAATTTTGCATCACAAAGAACATAATTCATATTCTGGTTTGTCTCAAAATTGGTTGAGATGCCTTGCTCTCCAGTATGACTGACTTAACAGATGCGCCCCTCATCAGCCAATTTAAAAAAGAATTGACAACATGTGATTTGAGCGATCAATTTCATGCAATATCATAAGGCATGGCTGCCTTCACATAGACACTTCCAACTCATCTTAAGCCTAAACCATTATTTGCATTTATCTTGCATAGCAATGCATTCAAATTATTGTACATGCTCAAGATAGTTCTGTTCCAGATATGAAACTATTCAAGATTCAGACTTAATCATCAGTCTCATTCCTGTATCAGAAAAAATGTTCAGATCTGGGGTATTTACAAAATGGCCAAAAATATTAGTTTCTTGAAACTAATGTTTGCATGCACTGGGTAATCCATATAACACAACTTTTATCACTGGAACTAACAAATTGACATTTATATTTCAACAAGCTTCAGGAATTGTTTTGGAATGAATTGGCAGATTACTTAGGATTAAGTGTTGTCCAAGTTTTGACATTTTGGTCATAATGAACATTAGTGTTGATGCCCAAAAACACACAGGTTTCTAAGTTCATTTGCTATAATTCGGAACATGCTTGAATTGTAAGGACAAAAAAATTGCCAAGGGTAACTGACTTACTAGCCATCCTGTGTGTTGCACTTCCTACATGGCTTATCTGAAGTAATCTTACCTGTCCTGTTGCAAAAGTGTAATAATATGTAATAAAATAAATAAAATAATATGTTATAAAATAGCAATGTTTTGGAAGGAAAACAGAAATTCCAATTATGGGCAAACCTTTTTTTCATCTCAGGGTGAGGCTGATTAACCCTCTCACTGCCAAGGATTTACAGGCCTAGCCAACCTCTCCTCGTCTAGAATGACAGTGGAGGTTCGTCACACTGAACACGCCATATGGCATGAACGGCAGCGAAAGGGTTAATATGTCTTTGACAGTTGGAAGAGACTTTGGACATTTTTCTCTGATAGTTGGAAGACACCTTCAATGTCTATTGAGCCTATGCAGAGAGATCAGAAGCTCTTCTGATGTAGAGTGCCTTGTCTCTGATACTAGATCAGCTCTTTTGCAGTGACCTTATTGTCACAGGAATGGTCATTGTTTAATATAATTTTAGAGGGAAATCATCTATTTATAGGCTACTAGGTTAATATGATGTGAAAGGTAGATGAGTTCTGTTTATATTAGGAAGCTTTAAATATCCTTCTAGGATTCTGCCTCCAAGGCTTAAAAAGCACTGTCAAGTGGCATCTTTTATCTGCTTTCTTATGTAGTGAATGAAATAAGAGTTAAGTTAATAATGTATAGTACTGCCAGAAAGTTTGAGGCATGTGGGAAAATTTTACAAGTCTTAAAAAATAAGAAAAAATAGAAATTTTATTCAATTTACATTAGAAAAAGACATTGTGCAAAAAAAGCAATTGTTTCTTTATTTTCAATTCAAATTTTACTCTCATTGAAATAACCACTAGGATTTTTTATGATGGCAGCACAGATTCTGGGCATTCTATTGATAAAATTTTCAAGTGTCGCTGATGGAATGCCATTCCAGCATGTTTGCAGAAAAAAGATTTGTGAGGATCATCCTACCTCTTTGTCGAGCCATGTGACACATTCTCTGTGCATGTGACTGAAGGAAAGCTGTCATCTAGGTCCCTAAGCATTCTTGTTTATATCCTCTAATGCTAGGGCTATTAGTGCATTAATAAGCCTAGCCTGCAGAATGTCCCAGAGGTTTTCGGTGGATGATTTTGCAGCACTTCAACTCTTCCAAATAACTCTTGCAGGTCTTGCTAGTTTGTTTGGGATCATTGTCATGCATGAACACATACTGGCCTCTGAACAGTTTCATGCCAGAGGGAACCAATTGCTGTTCCAAAATGTCCCTGTCCACTTCATTGGTCATGATTCCTTTGATGCAATGCAGACTTCCTACTTGATCACCCCCAAAGCAACTCCAAATGATTACTCAACCACCTCCATGCTTGACGGTGGGCACCAAGCACAGTTCAGAAAATCTAATCACAAAAACTATCTTTACTGCCAAAGATTTCGAATTTGGACTCATCAGTCCAGAGCACTCATTTCCACATTCTGACTGCCCAATCCTTATGCTGGAAAGCCCAATCCTGTCTTTTCTTCTTATTAACTGGATGCAGCAGTGGTTTTCATGCAGCTACATGTCTATGTGGTCTGAACTCCTTTAAATGGTTTTTCACTGTAGAAGTACTGATGGAAATATCATTGAATTGATTGTGTAAGGACGTGATTTTATCAGCTGTCAGTCTTCTATCTGATGAGGAAATGTTCTTTATTTCAATATCTTGCCATTTTGTTGGTTTTTTTTGGCCTGGCAGTTCGTTTCTGGCTCTCATGAGTACCAAATCTCTCAAAGTGCTTCAAAGTTCTTTGTACGCTGCAACTGGAAACATTCATTTTTGCTGCAATCTGACCTTGGGAGTACCCTTTGAATAAACAAAGATTCTTTCTCTTTCTGTAACAGTTCTGATCTTTTACCCATATTCGTGACTTTTTCTGGAAAATATTGAAAAATGGAAAATTGAATCTGTCTCTGAATATACTTTGTGAGATCATGTATAATTGTTCCAAATAGTTAAAAATGTAATAATTGCAACGAAATTGATTAAATATAATACTTATGGGATGAAATCTTATCAAAAATGTAAAAACTTTTAACATGTACTTGAAAGTGAAGCTAGTAGTAGGACACGAAACGTGTTCCTGCATGAAATCATGAATAATTTGAAAAAATGAAGTAATAATGAACAAAAGAACTATGTTGACTATATAAACCATGATGATTCATCATGGTTTTTACATTTCATTTGAAAAAAGGGCCTTACATTTTTTTGGTCTTTTCTTCAAAAATAATCATTTTTGCAACCTGCCTCAAACTTTCTGGTGGTGTTGTGTGTGAGTTATGTGAGCTATATTGCAGTGTGGAGAATAAGAGAGAATATATTTAGATGGTATGGATGGGAAGCCATACAAAGCTTGGTCATGTGTTGGTGCTTAATAGGGATTTCTTTGTAGAATAGCAAGAATAAAAGATTTATGAGGATCGTCCTGCCTCTTTGTTGAGCCATGTGACACATTCTCTTTGCATGTGACTGAAGGACAGCTCCTGTCATCTAGGTCCCTAAGCATTCCTGTCTATGTCCTCTATTGCTAGGCCTATTAGTGCTTTAATAAGCCTAGCCTGATTGCAGAAGGTGTGAAACAAAATTCAAAATTTTAAGGTGAAGATGGAGTTGGAGGTTGTCCCCATGTGACCAGAGGTCTAGATCTTGCACACCTCTTGAGGTCATTCAGGAAGAAGACATCTGAGTTGGAGACTTGCAAGATCTGTGAAGGAGCAACACTCTTTAAGAAAGAAGTAAGGGACATATATGTTTATGTTTCATTGTGAATGTAACTGGATATTCCTATTTCCTAGTTCATGGTGTTCCTCTGTTTTCAGGAGGGAGAGAACACTCAAGCAGAAGGTGGGGAGACATTGTGGCTGTGTTTACGTTGTGGAATTTTGAGTTGTGGACCATCAGGGTCAATTGAAGAGAGTGGAAGTAGCATTCATGCACATGTCATCAAGCATTTCTTCACACCACACTCAGATTTGCATTGTCTCTGTGTGGCACTTTCAGCTTGGAATATTTGGTGCTTTGAATGTAAGAGGGAAGTGTCAGTCAGAAGTAGTAAGAAACTGACATCTGCCATCAATTCTGTGAAGAGAGAGTTAGATAAACCTCACCATTCTCCAGGTGAGATTCTGGCATCCTTCTTTACTCAGTGTGTAATCTTGGAAAACATTCAATGTGCCTGCCTGTGCTGATTTGTGGTACTCCTTTAAAAATACTTTCAGTAGAGCAATCAAAGTCATGCCTCTGGATTATTGTAGGAGGAGAACAAGGGAGTCTTGCGCCATCTGTGACCAGTCAATCCTGTGAAATGACAACAATCGATGAAAAGAACCTTTCCAAACCTCTCCTTCCACCTATCAAGGTAAAACTTGTCATCATATACTTCCTATAGGATCATTCCTTAATTCTGATCCAAGATTGAAGATGGAATCTTCTTGTCTCTTGTTCTTAGGGTTTAGTGAACATTGGCAACACGTGTTTCTTCAACTCAGTCCTCCAGAGTCTTTGTCAAACTCATCCTCTCACACACCTACTGGATATACACTGTCAAAAGGGAGTTCCTGTTCGATTGCCTGGCACTTTTTCATCAAATGGTCATGTTCTGCTGGCAAGTATTCTCATCTTTATCTAACTTTAGTATTATCCTTAAATTTTCGATTCACCTTGATGTTTTGGATTGTGTTATATAGCCACCATTAGAGGTGAAGCTCCCAGAAGCAGATTCTCTACTCCAGGCTTTGTGTGCTCAAGTGAAACACATGAGTAGCCATGGATCCAGGGGACCCTTGAACCCAGGCCATCTCTTTGGTCATATCTCTAATCGTGCCCCTCAGTTTAGGGGTGGAGACATGCATGATTCACATGAACTTCTTCGCATCTTCCTTGACTTCATTCAGAATGAAGAAATAAGAGTGAGTTGTTCTTGTTCTGATCCCACTGATTGTCTTCCATCTTTTCAGTTTTTTTTTTAAACACACATCTGCAAATTGATCTTCCTATTCTGTTCGGGTCTATATGACCCGAAACACTCATTCAACCTGATACAACTTCAATGTATTTCATCGAAAAAATAGGAATTTTTTTAACTTTTCCTAACTTTTCTAATATATTTACGACCTCAAAGCCGAACTCATTTCCATGAAGCATTACTGAAATATTTGTGATACCCCCTCCTGTTATGCTCAGGTCTATTAGACCCGATTGCAATAGTAGTGCATTTTCAACGTGGGTTACACCATCTTGGACCTTCTTGGAACAAGCTTCCAGAGCACTTGCCCTTGAGAAGTGCAGTGATTCTCAAAGTCTTGTGTTCTGCCAGTTATATGTGCTGTGGACTGCAATAAATCTGGGATGGCAGTAGAACAAACTCTTCAAAAGAAGATTGTTCTCAGTAGAATTGAGCATGCAGTTCTTTTGCCCATTGCTAGAAATAAGAGAATATTTTCCACTCACATTGTCCTCTGCTACCGTCATCATTTTTGCGCGACTACCTAGACCAACGCAATGACTGGATCTCCTATGTTGGACCGAGTGCATTATGCAGCAAAAAAGAGCCGGATGTACTTTTTGTCCCTACACATATGACAGCAAGACAAGTATCAGCTGTACGTTGTTTAGAAATATATTTGCAGTTTGGGCACAAGTACATTTTATATACCTTGCAAAGTCAATGATAAATAAAGGTTTGTCGCAATTGACAATTTTGGAAATCAATTTTTGCTGCACCTTTTTGGAATTAACTCAGTGTTAACAATAATTAGGTATGCAAACATAACTAATGAAATAATGAACACATGTGTGATCTATCCTTTTGCTATAAGAAATCATGAAGCAGCAAAAAACTCAAGTGAATTCCTATTCAAATCATAAGAAATGTATATCGGGGTCAGGGTGACCCGAACGTAAATGGTGTACCTAAAATGGGAACAGAATAGGAAGGTTAACAAAAAGATAACATCATCTGTCTAATTCTCTGTACATGTTCATCGCAACTTTATTTACTTAGCCTTTTATAGTTCACTGGGAAAATAATTTCCCACTTCATGTATCTTGCTTCATCTGAGAGAGGTGATGGGGTAAATATTTCCTACCAGAGCAAAAGAGTCACACACACACACACACACACACACACACACACACACACAAACATAGGCGTAACAAGCTTCGTTTGCTCCACTAGCCGAAAATTACGTCTACTAAAGATCACTACCTTGAAATCTTCTTAATGACGCAGACAAAAATGGGCAACAGCTACAACACTACCAAAAACATCTATGACTCCAACGGCGGTATCAAAGCAACCGAGTACAAAACCAGCTACGGCACTGGCAACACACACACACACACACACATGCTCTTGAATTTTTACATAAATGTTGTGTTGGAACATTTTTCACAACTTTTATGTGGAGTATAGCATGCAAGGGGTCTGCAAATAAAATATATATATTTAATGAACTAGTCTTTTGCCCTATAAAGGGTTAACAATGTATTTTTGCCCTATAGGCTGGGGTTTGATTTAAAAAAATTTGTTATTACAAATGTGACATTTGGTAACTTGGATACTTGAGAAGACATAGTCACAGGACAAACACTGAGAACTTCAAATTCTCCTATCCACACTCCTCATCTGATCCTTATACAGTAACCATAGTCTTTGAATGCCTGTACAGTATCAAGTTCTCTTTGTGTTTTTGCTTTCTGGAGTAGCGATGTAAGGAGGCAATCTTGGTGGCATTTGGGCTTTCAAGGAAGACAAATCCCCAATCTGTGGAGGAGAGTGTTCATCAACGTATTCGAGCATATGGCCACCAGGCGAAGGATACACTTGTGGAATGGATCTTTGGAGGAGTGTTTCTGAATGTGATTACTTGTGAGACATGTCATGAACCTTCCTTGCATGTTGAACGCTTTATGGATGTCTCCCTGCCTGTGGTTGAAGAACGAGTCATAAGACCAAGGAAAAAAGGGGTTGTGGATGTGGTCGATGGAGACAGTCCTGGTTGCTTTGGTAAGAGTCAAATCCCATCTGGAACCAACAAATATCAGCAGAAGAGAGCAAAGCAAGAGAAGAGATTGGCCAGGAGGAAAGAGAAGGCACATAAGGTGTTTGTTGCTAAGTCTGGCTCTCAGCCATCACAAGATGATCATCATCTTAAGAAGGTGAAGTTTGCACTCATTCTATCTCTTCTGATTAATTTGGAAAAACTGGCTTCATCACATAAAGTTATGCATGCATCTTTCAGGAGAAGAAAGAAATTGACTCAGATCCAGGTGGAGGGGAACAGAAGGTGGAAGATGGTGAGAGACAGCAAGAAAAGTCAGACAATGAGGAAGGCAATGATCTGGAAGCAACATGCAAAGGTTGTCCTCTTTTTCTGTTATCAATTGTTACTACTTGTGGGTTCACTCTTTGTTTCATCTATTGTAATTTCACTGCCTTCTCCCAAGTAGAGATAGACTCTTTAGAGATGCAACGATATTTTATCGGTTATTGGTATCGACCGATATTGGGTGAATCAGATATATCGGTCCAAAACGATATATGACCTGCCGATAACCGATATTGAAATTACACCTGAAGTATGCCAAACGCCATGTAAAGCGAATGATGAATATTCTCTCATTTTTCTCATTAGTGTTTTTTACTTGAGTTAAACAACATTTCACTTGACTCGAACATACGTTCATGGGACGTTCCTCATGCATGAGTGTCGAAGTCAAGTGAAAAACACTGCAGAAGGTTGAAAATGCCTAAATGACATGTTTTCATTATAAAAAAAAAGAAGTGTTAGACTGCTGAAAATGTAGGCAATTTTTCCCCTTTGGATTGGGAGTGGCCGCAAGGCACTGACGCTTCACCCCTATTTTTCAGTCGGTGTCTCCCAGTGAAAACTTGCGACCTTTGCAAGCACGTGATGTAGGCATAATCGACTGCGATAGAGGTTTAAAATCATTTCGCGTTTGGTTTAACCGCCATAATAATCTGAGGTTCGACCTTCACTGCCGCGGTTCCTCAACGTCCCAACTTAACTCGGCCTAATGCCACTATCATAGCCTACTCCGTGCTTTCTGCGAAAATAGACATCGCTGGTGTTCGCGCGAAGAATCCAGGCCTAGATGGATCCCAAAACTTAGGTACAAAAATCACTAGACAGTAGACTGTTTTCTACAATTTCGTGCCCACAGGTTCCATTTGGAACCACCGATTTTCAAGAATTTTATCATCTTTATATTCGTGCTAGGGCTGTGACGATGGCCACATTTGACCGGTAGACTGGCGCATTTTGAACTCGTACCCATCGACCGGTGCCGGAGCTGATTATGGTCTATACGCAATAGATTGAGAAAGTAACTTGAAATCGCATACGAATTCAAATAGGCCTATTTGGAAGCCTTGTGATACTTATCAATGAGTCTCCTGAAATCGATAGAGATCACTTTTAGACCTTTCCAGCCTGTTTGTCTTCGTCCGTCAGTGAATAGCTGGTTACCTATTGCTGCTAAGAGCGCTTAACGACACCACTCGTTCATGCACAGCATAAAAGGAGGTGCAATGTTTTCACGGTCTTTACCGCCATTTTCCTCCACCAGTTCCTACAATCGGGTTGAAATACAGTAACTCGTCGATTTACGTCGTGGATGCGTTCCCGGAAAACACGACGTAAAACGAAACCTATTTTCCCATGGACTAAATGATATCCAGGAAGTCCTTGATTTACAACGTTATATCGAAACGACGTTAATGGAGGACTTCCTGTATAATCGGATCGATATTATTTTCTGGGAGAGGGCGGCAGGGGAGGCTTTCAGCGAGACTGAAGGGCCGGCGCCAAGCGGCCTTCACACACGTAGGTTTTTTTTTTTTCATTTTGCCCTCCTTCAGGCTTTGGCATCGACAGCTTGCAACCCTACCAATGGCCATGGCGTCAATGGTGCAACGCCAGAGGCCAATCATCTGCGGTTGTTAATACGTTGGTGCAGCCCTAATTTATTTTAAATATTTATAATGTCATAATTTATATTTAAATATTTATAATATAATGTATTACATAAATATCTTTGTAGATAAAATACTTCTGTAATATAATAAGTATGATTAATTGCCTTGGAAATTTTCCTGAAAAGCAGTTATGTTCGCATTTCATCTGCATGGCAAATTATCTGATGTGCTAACAATCTGTCAGTCATGTTCCTCTGGGTGTCCATTGGGGGGTTAGAATGAGGGAACTTTGACATTCTTGACATTTTCTTAACTGAGTGCTACTTTGGAAAAAAAAGAAGAAGCAATTGCTGTTCCACCTTCTTGTAAGTTCTATGATGGAACATAGTAAAGAAAATGCCTGTTGCAAATCCAATGGAATATTTTAAAATTCACATTTAAGAGCCTGGCTTCAGCATGAGCAAAACATTTCTTCTCACTATTGGAGAAATGGCAAAAGCATGAGGTGCACCACTGGTGTTCCTCAAATTTTCCTCATCAGACCTGGTCCCTATTAAAGCTTAACAGTGAAGGGGTCAATGCCTGAATGTGTGAGTATAAATGTACATATAGATATCAATATTGGGGTATCAGCATCAGTATTGGTATTGGTATCGGTTCTTTTCCAATATTGGTATATTGGACATCAGCCAAAATTAAATATAGTTGCATCTCTACTCTCCTTTGCCTAAGGGCAAGATAAGATCTAAGTATTAAGGTGTAGTTTTCTTCGTGTGGATTCATTGTGTAGCAAATGATGAGGCCAGACACCCTTTGGATGAGCCAAGAATGATTATTGCCAATTTTAGTGTCATCTTATCTGAGGACTCTGTGCCTCATTTTTTCTCTCTTGTTTAGTTTTATGGATGCATTGAAAATTCAGGATGCTGAAGACTGCATTCTTCTTACTTTTTCCAGTTGATGCGAATGCAGACATTGAGGAAAATGAAGAATCAGAACTGGTACATTTTCTGGACCTGGGTCTCACCTTGGGTGAAGCCCATCCCCTTCCTCAAGGCTCAGATGTGATATCAGCTGATTCTGGCTACATTGGTGGCATCGCATCATCTCATTCAAGTGGTAGCCCTGGCCTTGCATCAAACAAGCTATCTGAAGATAGTGGACGACTCACTGGGCAAGACACATGTTCTATGATCTCTGTTGATGATGTTGAACGACAAGGTCTCTCCCAAGAGGAGATTTGTACTGCATTTTCTATCTCGCAAAATGAAACTGTGGGCCCTAAGTGTCTTCAATCTGATGATGGCCTGGATAGATCTCCAACTTTCAGTGTTGGCTGTGGGGATACAGACTTGACTGTGGAGCATGGGTCTCTGGATTCATGTAGCAGTGGTTCACCTCATTACATGCCTTCATTGTCTGATCAGGAAGTTGAACTTGATGATGCTGTTGTTGAAGGGGTCATTGGGGAAGAGCAGGAGGGTTCATCAAGTGAGAAGGATCCACACATGGATGAATCAATGCAACATTTGAAGCAACACTTTGTTTCTGTTGGCCTCAAGTCCCTGGGCCCAAAATACCATGTCAAGGAACATGAATGCTCAATAGAGTCCCTCTTAGCTCGCTTCACATCACCAGAATTGCTGATGGGTGCCAATAAGATTGCATGCCAGAATTGCTCCCAGGCTGAATATGGTTCCCAGGAAGATGTGGAATCCACTGGATCAGTTTTTCGGAATGCTAGTCAGCAGGGACTGATACTTGTTCCGCCAGCCATCCTCACTCTCCATCTCAAGAGATTTGAAGGATCTAGTATTGTTTGTCGGAAAGTAACTCGTCATGTCTCTTTCCCACTCCTCCTAGACCTTGCTCCATACTGCTCTGATGTTTATCGGGTAAGAGGCTTCTATCACTGCTGTCCATTTCCTTTGTCTCTTCCCTACATTTTACTTTCCAATGTTTTCATAAATGTGAATTGAAAATTTGCTTGCTTTCCCTGAAACCAGTGTTTGAGGAAGGAGGAGGAAGGGCAGAGTGAGAAGATGCTGTACTCCCTGTATGCTGTAGTTGAGCATTCAGGAACAATGAACAGTGGCCACTATGTGGCTTATGTCAAGTCCAGGCCTACTAGTCCACAATTTAGTCCTTGCCGGTTTCTCAACTATGAACTTTCTCTCCAGGGTCATCTTCCTTCCCTTCTTCACAGGTGCTTATTCTTTTGTTTTTTTTTCATCTATCCCAATCAAGATAGACTTGGAGTTTTTTCCTTTGGGAGCCCAAGCCTATGTCTTGGAGATGAGGAATGGAACATTCTGCCTTATTGGTATTTGTTGGTACATAATTGCAGTTATGCAAAATCTGCCTGATAAGTGTGTCTAACAAGCTTTATTTCCTACCAAGGAAAGTAGATCAGAGTTCAAGATCAAGGCATTTCTTCAATAAGTTATTAAATGCAGGGTACCAGTAAAGATCCAAATTTCCAGTTAAATCAATGACTGATAACCAACTTAGAACAATTTGGTTAACTGAACCATTGGAAAATTTTCCATTTAGGTAGGAAGTTCTTTATGAAAGATTTATTTACTTATAACCATTAATCCAATGGATGGTATTATTGGTTGCTTGTTTATTTACGTGTCCTGGATTCTGTTTCATATGTTAAGTTCTTAAATCATGGGATTTTTTATTTATTGGTGAGTGTTAAAGGATTGTATCATGGTTTTATTTGCAGGTTTGCATCATGGCAGGCAGGGCAACAAGAGAAAAAAAAGGAGGAAGGGAGTAAAGAAGGAGAAAATGGTTCAAAGGACCCTCATGTTATGTCATCAGGGAAGTGGTACTATGTATCTGACTCTCGTGTGATGGAGACCACTGAGGCCAAGGTACTTCATAGCCAGGCCTATCTGCTTTTCTATGAGCGCATATCATAGGGTCTTCATTTGCTCCACATCTTGATAAATATGTCTTTCAGCCATTCTGTGTCGTCTCTTGTGTGTGATATGACTGAAAACCATACATCCTGTTTACAGGCCCTTGTCTTGGGCTTTTTTTTGCCTCTTTTTCCATGGATTTGGGAATCAGTGTTGCAATGATGTTACTTCACATAATGAAGGATTTATTATTCTTATCTCTGCATATCATTGTCAGGGTACATGTTCTCATAGAAAAATCCATTCTTCCTTCAATCTTTTTTTTCTTCTACTCATTGCTTGTGACATTGATGTGGTAGATTAGGTCGGCATCGTCTAGCCTTTGGCGATGTTGCAGCTACTTTTGGTTGCAGCCTGACTGTGGCTTCTGTCAGTCCTCATGAAATTCTTTGTTTTTCCTTTTTGCATCATGTATTATGAAATTGAGGAAAAAATTGTTTTCTTCTCTAGGGTGGATGCACAGGGTGATTTTTAAAACATCTGACTCTGAAATTGATTAAGTTTTTTTATTTATTGACATAAGATGAAATTTGAACAAACAGTACTTTCTCTACACTTGGGAAAGCATAGTGAACAGTTGGCAACCCTGCAACTATTGCAAGTCAGTTATTTCTAGATGGCGTCCTATACATTGGAGCAGAAAGTGTTTATAGTGAAAACATTTTATTCTTCTTGGAGTTCATGTGTTTTTGTGGAAAGAAAATTTTTTGAAGAGTTTAATGTTTGTGACCCACTGTCCAGAGATAGTATTTATTGTTTTATTAGAAAAATTTGAAGCAATGGGATGTGTTTGTGATTTGCAATTGAAAATGCAATAATTTCAAGAGCTGGGAGGATGTCACTTGAAGCATGTTCTACTCTAGGAAACAAATTTCCCAAGTGTACAGAAGGTACTATTCAAATTTCATGTTGTTATGTTAATAAATAAAAAGCCTATATCAATTTCAAAATGTCAGATGTTTTAAAAATCACCCTGTATATTCTAAGAAAAAAAGCATGGTAACCATGAAGTGAAGTGATGAAAACAATGTCCAGCAGCATAGTGGTTAGTCTAATACTGCAACTGGGCCAATGGCAATTTTTTTTTTAAATAAAAATGTTCTCTGACCTGGATGGATCCAGGTAGAGAGGATTTTTAAAACTGAATAAAATGGTAAAATTTTGCCAGTGTAGGGGGGTAAATAAATAAAAAAAATTGGTGTACATCTCTGTTGCATAATTGGTGGTGTACTTCCTTCTTTTGTCTGGTAAAAGTTTGTTTCACGATCAGCAAGTTGTTTGGCTTTGTTTCTTTTGTTGGCCAAGAATTAGAAGAGCAAGATTGCTCTTCCTTTCCTGGGCTTCATGTGCATACAAAAAGTGCCTCCATGAGTGAAAGGGAGTCCTTAGGTTCCCATCATCACTTCTGCATCATTTGCATTCCTGCATGATGCTATTTATGCACTTTCCTTACCAGTTTGCCAATGCATTTTGTTCCCTGATAAAACTGCCTATGTTGATATATCATGACACCCCTTATTGTATTCCTTGCCATATTTTTTTGCCTTATAATTGGCATAAAAATTCTCACAAGAAATTGAAGCATGTAAACATTTGACAAAAAATTTCTCAGATGCCATTGCAAGTGTAATGAAACAAAATACTGTATTTTTTTTTACTTTTTAGGAGGGAAAGAATTTCCATTTGTCAGGTTGAAGAATCATTCTTGAGGAGTATTCACCTTTTCACCATAAGGCTGGAGTCTGGGCTCCCTGGTGCAATTGCCTGCATTCCTCAAGTGTTATTCTTCTGCCTTAATAAAGGTGAATTCTTGCCCCCTTGAAGAATTTCAATATTACATATTCCCCTTTTTGTCACACTTGAGATGCTGTGAGGAAATTAGTGAAAAGACACCAAGGTTGGCTTGGCTCCTGATTTTAAAAGTTTTTTCTAAGAAGTCTCTTTGCTTGACTCCTTTGAATTAAAAATTTTTTGTGAGTTAAAATTCCAGTGCAAATGAACATACATTATATTGTTGTAATTTATTGCCAAATATCAAGAGCCACCAATGCAAACAATGATTGACATGGTAGGATGTCATGGTGGGTCTCGATAATTGTGCCTGCCAACAGGTATGTATGGCATGTTCATGGTCTGGAACCATGCTCAGAAATAGCAAAGCATGATGAAACTCACTTCCTTCTAAGGGGGTTGGTAGCAGTTTGGGGGGAAAAGTCTGGTCCAGCCCAGTCCACTTTCATCATTGCATGATGGAGGAGTCATGGACCCACTGGTTTCATTATCAGTCTGGGATGGGTTCATTGTTAATCATGCCAAGATGGCCTAACACCAAATTGACAGGCCAGGCATTGATGATATATGGTATCAGCAATGCTTTGTGAGGTGCAACGGAAATTTTATTTAGTAACATGGGGTCCCTCTAGAACTTAATACTGACCCCCCCAAAATTTTGACTCCTTTGGGGAGTCTGTAGTAGTGAATTGGCCTAATTTGTACTAAATAAGGTATCCCGGGGGTCCGAATTTTGAAATACCACCTAACCTATGACCATCCCTGGACCAAATGAGGAAGCCATGCAAAGTTTGGTCAGACCGGGATCAGAGGCATGGCTGTGCATAAAGGACAGACACAAACAAACAAACATTCTGAAATATAATATGAGGGGGGTTCAAATTTGACCAGGACTTTTGTTATTAAAAGGCTGAGTAAAGCATGTAGATTAATCATATTTGGGAGAATTTGTCTTCATAGTGTTCTTAAGAACACTATAACCCATACCCCTAATTGCATGTTTCCCGCTTACATACATGTGCTGAAAATCAAGATGGTGGTGAATGAGGTAACGAAGGTGGAACAGCGAATAATTATGAAATTTCTGATTAACAAAACCAATGTTTTGACTGATGGAAGAGGTTCCTTTTACAGGCAATCAGCACCATACTATGGAGAAAATTGTCTGTAAATTTCCAAAGATTTCATGTTCCCATTGACCAGAAATTTCATATTGATTCACTGTTCCACCTTTGTTACCTCAACTGCTGCCCTCTTGATTTCCAGCACATGTATTAAAGCAGGAAACACGTGATTCTTAGTATGGTTACCAACGCTACAAAGACCAATTCTTCCCAACATTATTAATCTGCATACATTTCTTTGCTGCTTATGAACAAAAGTCCAGGTCAAATTTGAACCACCCTCGTAGTTAAGATGTTCTATGGTGGGCCTTCAAGTTTGGCATAGTATTGGACATCCTTGGCAGCATGCAAGAGGTTTTTCACATCGCTGTAATCCCATTCCTTATATGAACAAGGCTAAGAAAGGAGTTGCAATGTAGCAGGGAATCTGAGGCATGATTACCTGAGGAGACCAAATGTTAATAGAGGGTAACAGGAATCTGGAATACTTTAAGCTTGATGTATAGCTACATAGCCAAATGCTCTTTTCACTTAATTTCATCATGTTAGGCAAAAGTGTATTGTAGGCAATTTTTCCTTCTTCATAAGAGAGGCTGGTGAGCATTACAATACCACACATTGATCAGCAATTGTAATAAACCAAAATTATGTTGAGTCAAGGTAGACTAATCAAGTAAACCCTTTTGGATATACAGGGTGACCATAAAGTCTGGATACATAGGATCATATTAAGGATATATTAAGATAATGTACAAATAAACAAAAATAAATGTTCAAAATGTTCTCCCATTGAATCAATACAGATTTGAAGGTGACATTTGAAGTGTTGAGCCCGATTAAATAAATTGGTATTTCCAAAATTATCTTAATATATCCTATGTTTCCAGACTTTATGGCCACCCTGATATTGCCATGGACTCTCATTCTTTGTCTCATCTCCCCTGGAATAAAATGACCAGCAATGATCACCAAAACCTGAAGCCAGTCAAAGGCCATGACAAACAAACCCTTTCCATATCAATCATTGTAAAATACATGCCAAAATGAGTCTGGTGCTCTTGATGACAACATGGACTCTTAGGATATATACAGAATTGGAGAATTGGTAAATCAGTCTAGATACAGCTCATGGCATGATCTTGGCCATTTCTCTCAGCAGTCTTCATTATATGAGGCTCCACCTTGATCCCTAAGTAATGCATGGTGTAAAAAGTGATTCCATTGTCACAAATCCCTTTCTCAAAATTTTTACTTATTAAAAAATTATGCACAAAAACCAAATTTGATGAGAATGTGGTCATATAGGATGTTTCAAAATTGTTCATTAAAAAGTAAAATTATATTTCCAGAAAAGTAATAGATGTAGAGAAGTGAAAGTTGGTAGCCATGTGGCCTAACTCTCTACTTTTCATTCTATATGTGTGGCAGCACCTTAAGAAGCAAGATGATGACAACAATGCAACAGAAGGGGAAGTGTGTGGTTTTTTAATACAAAACATTGTTATGCTTGTACAGCATGAGTTCAAGTGGTTGTATGGAGCAAGGAAGGCTCCAGCATTACGAAAGATTCTGTATTGGTTTGGGCAATTTGAAGGAACCAAGAACGACGTTCAATTGTTTACAAACAATCCACTGACATGTCACAATAGTCACATTCACATGAAGTGAATGTGTCTTCATGAATATGCCTTCACTTTTGCAGTGATTTTTTTGGACTTCTTATTGCTGCCTGAATTTTATCCATTACGTCAGCTGGTGTGTGTGGCCTGCTCCCTTTTTATTTTACTGTTCCAGTTTTTCTAAATGCCTGGACCAATGCAGAATGCTTTGTGTTGTTGGAACCTTCCTTGCCCCTTACAACCACTTGAACTCATGCTGTACAAGCATAAAAATGTTCAGCTTTGTATTAAAAAATCACACACTTCCCCTTCTGTTGCATTGTTGTCATCATCTTGCTTCCTAAGGTGCTGCCACCCATGTTGAATGAAAAGTAGAGAGTTAGACCACATGACTACCAACTTTCATTTCTCTACATCTACTACTTTTCTAGAAATATAATTTTACTTTTCAATAAACAATTTTGTGACACTCTGTATATTATGTGTACAACTCATAACAAGTGCTGAAGAGAATGCCATTTTCTTACATGAACAAGTGTACATGATGCATAGATGCATTCTCAGTGGGATGTTCTATGATTTGCAATGTCATTCTGGTGT